ATTGCAAATTTTTAGGTGTATATCGCCACATTTTAAACGCCAAGGGGTGTTTCTTGATGAAAATTTCACGAGAAAACCAATTGAACCACTTTCAGAACTTCAAAAATTTGTATAAACGGAGTTACAAGCGTTTTAAGTTTCCAAATTTTGTCCGACCTTTCCTATCGACTCGATATCTCCACTGTGCGTCGCCGCCTTCTGTGAATCTGCACAGCCACCCAAGCCAAGGACCAAGGCGGAAGATCGCCGCGCGAGCGTGAGCAGCTCGTGGTCGGTCGCGTGGCCATCTGTGGAGATTTCAGCCGGATTTCCGTGTCACTCGGGCATCGAGTGCCAGACGCGCGACTGAAACGGCTGAAACCGAAGCTGTGAACCGTGGAAATCCACGAGACGCGATCAATGACCCCCGTCTCATCCCGCTCCGGTTCCTATCTTCGCTCGTCGACCTCGGTTTCGCGGCTTTGGGTTTCCCTCCTACAATCGCGTCATACCTTTTGCTTTTCGCTTCTGTTGCCCCAGCTTATCGCTGTATCTGCCTCCGTCATTGAAAACAAGTCATCCATTCAATCCATCGCGTAGAGCAGGCTGCCATGCCATCGGTCAGTTCGGTCCGTGCCTTCGAGCTTTTTCCTTTAGCATTTTTTACGTTTGTACCGATTCGATTTCTTCCATTTGTTTGTTTTCTTCCAAACTGGGGTGTTTGGAAATGGTAACGTGGATGCGCAGAGAACTCACTCGCGATACAGCTAACTAATTAATTAGTAAGTGGAATGTGGATTCGATATGCAGTTGTGTTGTGATATTATCGAGTGAGTATTTTTTTCTTTGGCTCGTATTCATAGTCGTTCCAAATAGTTGCTCTTGGAGTGGCTTCATATAGTTTACTAGGGGGCTACGCCCCCTGGCCGCTACGCGGCCCAACCCCCTGAAGGCGCTCCGCGCCATCAATGGGCCGCTTCGCGGCCCTATTTTTACCCTCCTATCAGTGTTAGTTTTATTTTTCCGGAGTTTTATTTTTCCCCTAAAAAATAACGATATGAGGCATACTTTAATTTTAAACTTTACTTAAAATTACTTTAAAATTAAAAGGACGCGTTTTGGAATGACTGCTTGATGAAATATTGGAGTAAAACAATGAACACTTTTAGTCAGGTAATAATTAAAATTTCTTGAGACGGGGATCGAACCCGCACCGAGTTCACATCAGTGGGTGCATCCCACGTCTCAGACGACTCGGCCACTGCTCGACATTAGGTTGTGGCCGCGAATCTTGTGTAGATAAGTGTAGAGCTGATGCGCAGGCTACACAGCTACTGCGCAACCTCCTCGACCACTGCGCATCCTCCCGCGCATAGCGGTAGCAGTACCGGAGCATTCTGTAAACTCACTCACTTTTATAACGTGATTTTAAAAAAACCTGGGTCCTTTTTCCAAAATCTGATTACAGCGGGCTCATCTAGGGCCAATTACCTCTCGATTTACGCAAAAATCATGGAAATCGGCCCGGTAGAACGCTCAAACGAACTATGACAAAAAATATAAATTTACATTGTTTAAATGGGAGAATTCGCAACTTTACCACGTAATATATAAAAACCTGGGCCATATTTTGAAAATCTGAAAAGAGTTGGCTTATCTAGAGACAATTGCCCGTCGATAGCCGCAAAAATCATGAAAATCGGCCCGGTAGAACGCTGGAACTAAGCGTCACCAGTTTCACAAAATTAGGAGGTCTCGAAGCTTATAGTATAGATATAGTATAGATATCGTAAGGAAGGAAGGTTTAAGGACGCCTTTGACGCGCAGCATTACGATAATGGTAATTTTCACGAATTTCGAGTGAAATTCACCAGTGCTAAGGGCGGACTGACCAAAGGCCCCTTAACCAGATAGTAGGCGCGTCAAGTATGGCCTATAAGGAGAGCCAAGTCAGTCCTTGCGCAGATCCCTTCGCCTGCTTGGCTGCACAGCTACCCCTCGCCCACCGGCGGCGTTTAGGCCATGCTCGTCAAGGGCTAGAACCCGAGTAGCATTTTCCAGCGGTAAAATCGCAATATTTTTAATTAAGTCGCGATTTTAATACGCTCTATTGGCGATAAAATCGCTAGGATTATCGACATTTGCGCGATTATCCTCGATTTTGTCGAAATTTTATCTCCGTGAATTCGCACGCGATATAAAATCGAAACTTTATTTCAATTAACTTATCACGATTTTTTTTATCTATAATACTGTGATAAATCGCCATCGATAAAATCGAGATTTTGTTGCGAATTTGGGCGATGAAATCGCAATTTTTCATCCGATAATATTGCGATAAATCGACGTCGATATAATTGCGATACGTTCTCCAATCAAATCGCAACTTACCGTGATCAGTGCTACTTGAGTACAGCTCGTAGTAGCCGCTTCCACCTCGAACCTTAGGTGGCTATACAGATTGTCTATTGATTATCTACCCCCAAGTCGCATTTTGTCCGTTTTAACAAAAATGTCTCGTTGCACAAATCTTTACCTTCCGGCCAAGTATCACAAGCGCTATGCGACTTTTCAAAATTTCCGTCGCCATTTTATTTTTTTACAGAGAAATTTTTGGTTGAATCTGTTTGAAAATTTCACTGAATTTTGTCCGTAGCTCAAAGAAAATTCAGAAAAATTTTCGGACAGCTTCGTTGAGCAATATCTCTGTGAAAAAATAAAATGGCGACTGAAATTTTGAAACGTTGCAAGGCGTTTGTGATTATTTGGCTGGAAGGTGACGAAATTGTTCGAGAATAGTAAGTGAAGTACCTTATTTTTCAGATTTAAGAAGTTCCGAAAGTTCAATACATTTAACAAACGTCCAATAGTTCGGAAATGTCTTCGATAGCTCCACCGTAATAATACGACCGTTATTTTTTGTTTTCAAATCGATTATTCCTCTCAACAGGGCCGGATTTACCTACTTGCCGCTCATGAGCCGCCTGTATTTTACCGCCCTCTTCTCATTCGTTTTGAAATATCGATAAAAACCATCAAGTGAACGTGCCAGCGGGGGAGGGGTGCATAAGACCCGTTTACTCGTGTTGGATACATTTTTTGGGAAAGCCCTGTTAACACTACTAGCAAAATTTCACTGAACTTTGCGCGAAAGTTAAGCTCCGTAAACCTATCTCTGTGTGGACAAGGCCTTCCACTCATAAGAAATGAACGAACAAATTATGAAAGAACAAACATAAATGTAGTTAAATGATTTTAAATTCCGCCGCCGCGCCGCGCAGACTGCACTGTGTTCGACGCAATGCGTGAAGTATTCATGCAGTCTTGTAGGCGATAAGCGTTTCACGCTGACCGCACTGTCTTTGGCGCAATGCGTGAAGTATTCACGCATTCTTGTAGGCGCTATCCGTTTCACGCTGACCGCAGTGACCGCACTGTGTTTGATGCAATGCGTGAAGTATTCGTGTAGTCTTGTAGGCGCTAATATGTATTACATGCCGACCGCCGCGCCGAAGGCTTCTCCTTTTCATCTCAAGTCCTCGTCATCATTTTTCTCTAATTCGCGCCGTTCCAGGCCAAATTGCTTGTTTGGTTTCTCTCTTAACTCGACTAATTAAAGGTGCTGTCTCTTGTATCACTGAAAGACGACAAAATTAGGAATTATTATACTCTAAGGAAATGAGAAATTTTGTCGCCTTTTCTCGTTTGAAACTTTTTTTTTTCAAAATCCGATTTTCTTAAAAGAGTGCAAATGCCGCCCCCTTGATTTGCCGCCATGGGTCGCGGCCCACCCCCTTAAACTGGCCCTGCCTCTCAATCGATATTTTCATTGCCCTCTATCACTATCATCGTCGCAAATTGCGGAGTAAAGCTGGGTTCACAGCCAGCACCCGCATCGATTATATCTCTTGACAATCATTTAAGGGAAACAATGTCGGCATTTCCCTTAAATTGTGAACTGCGATTTTCATTTCGTCGTTTGCAAATAGCCTCAGATAGACTGGCTCACCCTTTTACGCATCAGTGATGCAACTAATTACTGCTTTTTCGCACGTCATATCGCATGATGCAAGAATATCAACACCACCAAAATAATGTCAAAAAGTATCATCATCGCGGTTTTCATCGGTGCTCAGGTATATATTTGTAATTTCGTCTAATACCGATGTATTAATGCCGATGTATTAATGCCGATGTTATCATGCGATGCCGTCGCGAGGGTGGAGCGATATGAGAGCGACGGGAATCAGGCTATGAAGATTGTCGACGCATAAGAAACGCCTTCATTTTGAAATGATACTTCCTAGCGTTTCATCAGAGGCTGAATAGGTAGTTATGCATTATTTTAAAAACCCAATCAACAGTGAAGCAGCTTAGATTAGCAAGTAATGCAGTTGCTTGAGGTATTTTCTATTTTATTTCCTTTACGAAGCGAGATGAAAAGATACCTACTAGCGTAGCGCCGGCTATTTCCAACCAAATTTCGCTCTTATTTTTTTATTAGTGGCAGCTTTTCCCAAGAGGATCATACCTACCGACAAAGCAGGAAGGCAAGGCGTTCCTAGTTCCATAAAAGATTTGTTTTCAGTACATGGCGTTTTTTTTTTTTTTGTAATGAAAATATGATTACAGAAGATGCCTAAACAACATGTATACTTACACTTTTATGTGTGGTGAGGTGCTTGTCTCTCACAATGCCATCACCCGGATGTGACCGTTTTCCACCTACCTCCTCAATTTTGAGCTGTTTGTGCCGACAATTTTATCGCATTGCAGTGTCATAGATATAGGAATAATATTATGTAACGCACTTATTTAGTAAAATCCCCTACTTTTTTGAAGAGGGTCAGCCGCCCACCCCTGAGCTCTGCCCCTGCCTAATAAAATGTCGAGGAAATGTGGTAATCGCGTTTAAGCTGTAAACATTACGGGGAGGTAGGACAAAATGTCTTTTGAGACATTTTATTTAGATTATCAGCTTTCCTTACCTATGCTACATTTCGATCCTCGTACTTTTGCAGGAAATTGTCGCCGGTTTTAATGCCCCCTGGCTCTCCCGGAATATTTCGCCGGAAATCGTCCTCAGAGATCACCCCCCTCATTGCCAATAACAACAACAATGACAAATTCAGTGATGTTCCTAGCTCCAAAATGGCAACTGCATCCGCCAATTTGCCTTTCGTCGGTTGGCCCAATTCGAAGGATGATTACGAATTGAAGGAAGTCATTGGTGAGTCAATTTTCTTTAAGATTCTATCTTTCTAATTTTATATTTTGCAACTCGGTAAATTTTGTTACTCAAGATTTATTAAGATTATCAAATATCAGTGACGTCATTGCAAGCCGGCACCCCATAAGCGCAATGCTTAACCTCACTCTCGTTTTTCCAGTCTAATGTCAAAACAAATCAGACTTATTATTACTAATACTGCTGTAATATCAGTTTGATTGAGTCTTTCCAAGCTTTCACGCACCTCTATTCCCTTACAATTCACTCCTATAAGATGATGCTCTCAATTTTCTTAATCAATGAAATCACCAACTAGGTCATAGCGTTGATCGTAGAAAACTCTGCCGTCTGACCAAGTAATGCTATGCAATGTTCCGTCGCGGTGTTCAAATTGTTTTCTATTAGCTTGAGGAATGTTGCTCATCTAAATCTACCATGTCAGTTATGCGCATTCTCAATTTGTTCTTTGAACCATTACCTAAGAATGCTTGCAATTCATGTACGTTCTAATCACCGATAGAGGTGTCGTCAGCGTAGTTGACGGTTGTTTACTTTTGGTTTGCAAGCGCCAATGACAAATTTGGGTCTCTGCACCAAGCGGCGTTGGCTACTGTCCACCTTGAAAACATTCGTCTCATGATCGTATCGTAAAAAAAGTACTAATTAGGTATGATTCGCGACTTTTGTGGTTGTTTCTGTGTAGCTAAAAATTAAATATGTTACAAGGCTTGAAAGTACTGAAAAACTTATAGAAGCTTGAGTTCTTGCTTCTGTAAGAGTTGAATGTTTCCATGTGGATGGTAGTGACGCGAAAACGCTTGCAAACCGAAAGTAAACAACCGTCAACTTGGCTGACAATACCTAACTGTAACTCAAGTCGAGTGGTTTTCTGTGGAAATACTCATCAGATGCAGGTAGATTCCTCCCTCATCTGTACATTTTACAGCCTTTGTAGGAGTAGTTTATCATGAGGTCTATTAGACTATAGATCCAAGTTTACTGATTCCCTATGCACCATTCCTAGGACTTTTCAAATTTTATAAACCTACTTTTCAACAAAACATTTAGAGTTCATTTATTATTGAATTACTTTTGCTATAATGTGACTTGTAATAAGTTGTGTACAGGGTAGCTCTGTCAGTGTTTGCATATGTTCAGAAAAAATTCATCTCTTAATATTTTTTTGAAAAATCTTTGTGATGAAAGAACTTCTCCATATGATGATAAAGTAACTCTGCCCCCCTGCAATTTCTCCCCTCTAAAGTATTGACCTCCAGCCTGCTCACCCCTTATTTTTGTGACTTTTTGTATTGTCTGTTCTATTTTTTATTACATTGGATTTGTTTAAACGAGTGTATTTATTTTAAAATGTGGCTGCTTCTAGGTGTTGGAGCAACAGCAGTAGTCCATGCGGCACTATGCAGACCTCGACAAGAGAAGTGTGCAATAAAAAGAATAAACTTGGAGAAATGGAATACGAGTATGGATGAGCTTCTTGTAAGTTGCCTTGCGTTAATTTATAGCAAATTTTCCTTTAATTTAAATGGGTTACATATCGATGGCCAAAGTGCAGAACCACATATCTTCGTTTCCAATATTGCAGACGTCCTGTCATATTTGATTTTTTCTCTAGAAATCAAGTCCATGAAATTTCCTAAAAACTTCCTTGATTTTTCTTCTATGCTAGCAGAATATTCGGTGTAAATTTCAAGGTATAAAGTTGATTTTTTTTTTCTTCCTAAATTTTTTTTTAGAAAAAATGAAACAGAAATGGAAATTAGGAACATCGCAATGGAGGTATGTGGTTTTGTACTTTGGCCATTGATATATTCCTACCCGAAACCCTGCTGTGGCCATTTAATTTTTCTCTCAGAAAACTGTAATTAATTAAAAACATATGAATAGATTTTGTCGGCAGGTGTATCATTATATGAAGTTTCATAAGTTAGCTTGTCTTCTATTGCTTTTATCAAATCCTAAAAATAAACTTTTAGTGACTTTACGTAGCAAGTGAAATAGATAAGATGATAAACTGGATAAAATCATCTTCGGAATAATTTTATGACCAGGCCTTCGCAACATATCTTGTTTGGTATAAGAGTGGTTTCCCTCAAAACTTCTTTACTTAATTTTTCAATTGCTTTTGTAGAAATTTCACCTCGGGAAAATTTTCAGTTGTGTACTAAGATATCTTTTCTGATTATTTAAACATTCATATTTTTTATCCAATCTCTTGATAAAAATTACATTAAGTAATACTCTGATGATTCAATGCTTTAGTTATCTGATGCAGTCAAAATTGAATTTGTAGTCTACACATGCGACAAAAATCGATATTTGAAGCAAAAAGTACTTGTGGTATTTTGTTCTTTTTTCCCAATTAATGGTTTATTACTTAGTACAGTAGAGAATTGGACAAGCTTTTTTTGTTTGGTCACAAGCAGTGGGAAATTGTTTTTTTTCAGTCTTTTTTTTTGTGTGCGGTAAAATTATTTGCAAATTGTCAAACAATTGAGGTATTACTGTACTGTCAAGAGTTTGCCGAGAACAGATAAATACTTAACCTAGAATAATTATTTTCATTTTTCAAATTTGTGTCCTTAATGCAGAAGGAAATTCAAGCCATGTCATCCTGCCACCATGAAAATGTAGTAACATATCACACCAGCTTTGTTGTTCGGGAAGAACTCTGGTTGGTATTGGGTCTCCTTGGAGGCGGTTCGTTGTTAGATATCATCAAACACAAGATGCGAACCTCCGACTGTCGGAATGGTGTGTTCGATGAGTCAACTATAGCCACGGTTCTAAGGGAAGTTCTCAAAGGGCTAGAGTACTTTCACAGCAATGGCCAAATTCATAGGTGAGATTTTTTTGTTCAGCAGTTTTCAAGAAAGATGAGAGTATTAAGTATCTATAACACTAGATGGTGGAATAATGGCAAGTCCGTAATCTTCAAGTTAAATGTAATTCTTATATATTGTCCTTTGATTTGAAGCAGGGGTGCACAAAATTTTGTTGAAAGCACAAGGAAATAATATCCCCTTTAGATCATTCTACAAAAACTACCTAAGTGTAGTGATGGTTTTTTTGTGAATTGAAAGATGATAAAAATCCATTCAATTCAAGAGTCAATCTTTCAAAAGATCAATTGGTTAAAAAGCCCAGGCAGGATAATGAGATTATTCTTCCTGTCAATTCTACCTGGAGGTGTCCCTGAATTAGTAGAATTATGTTTTCCTCTGACTCTACAGACACAACATTATACGGAGATAGATATTGCTGATCCAGTTATATGGAGTTTTAGGATTGAAGGTAGATGTAACTGCTAGAAATAATCAATCTTTATTATTGTTGAAAGATTAATCTGTTGAAAGATCCAAAAGTCTTCATTGCCATTCCAAAATTAATTCAAGCAGAGGGTTTACTAGTTTCGAATATCTAGAAATAGCACCTAAGTACTTTTGAAGGTGGTCTATAAGTATTATAGAAGTAGGAAATTCTGCAAGGTAGTCTGAAATTTTTTACTTCCTGTCATATGTGTCAGGAAAGCCTGGAAAGTATGCAATCCCTTGCGTATTGATTCTTATGAGAAGTGCAGTATTTGCCTGACATATTGTGATAGCGCATTCAGTTGATCTTCTGGTCTCAAATGAGTTTCGAATTTTGTGGCCAAGTAATTTTTGTGGCACTTTGCATATAAATTTTTAAATTTTCGAAATATTTCGGATTCAGTCACATACAGGCACTGAAAAAGCACTGAATTTTTCTGTTGAAAAAGCACCACACTGTTTGGAAGAGAACTTAAAAAGTACTGGGTCTTGGCCAGCCAGTTTTAGTAGACACCCTGTTCAAGCTTTCGTACTATGCGAGAGAGTTTATTATCTTGATCAGCAAGATAAACATTCTACCTAAAGTGTATCACAAAAGTCTGGTCAAAAATTTGTTCATTTTTTTGTTGACTCTTCTGAAAATGTCTCAATAGCAGGGTAGAATTGGTGTTCTTTTTGTAGTAGTTCTTTTTTATCCAATTATATTCAAAGTTATCCGGTCTGATTTTTTCAGAGATATTAAAGCCGGCAATATTCTCTTAGGAGATGATGGCATTGTTCAAATAGCAGACTTTGGTGTCAGTGCATGGCTAGCGACAGGTCGAGATCTATCTCGGCAAAAAGTTCGTCACACTTTTGTAGGTACACCATGCTGGATGGCCCCTGAAGTCATGGAACAGGTGAGAAATTAATCTTCTTTTATAGATCCTTCTTTTATTTATAATCTCATATTTTGCCCAACCCTTAATTTCCCTCTACAGAAGAATTTATGGGAATAAACATTTTCTGTCAACCCCTTACTCACTAGTTCATTTATATCTGAGCCTTGAACCATTTTTCTCCACTGGTTGAGATAAAAATCCGTCATAAGTGAACCAGCAGAAATCATATTATCGACGAATTTCATTGGTGTTGGCTGGACTGATGTCTTTGTCTTACCAGATTGACTCAGAACCTCTTGTGTAATACTTTAAAGAAACTAGTAAAATGGAGCACGAGACAAGGCTCGAATTTCAGCATTCTGATACATGTTTCTTACTTAGGATTTCACGCAGAAAACGATCCTTGCATTGAAAATCATGGAAAACAACTAAAATATTAACGTTTTTATTTTACATTAACCATGGGAATTTCCGGTCACAAGAAACGCAGTTTTGGCAGGCCTCTCAATTGAGCATTGTTTCTTTCCCACCCTTAATTGTTTAAAGTGAAAACAATTTGCTATAGCTGAACCAAAGCGTCAAGATTGAGATAGCCAGATTTTCATATCCCAGATATTGTCGTGGTAAAGTTTAGTGTACCATTTGACTCACGTATTCTATTATGTTTTCATGAGCAGAGTGTTTATTCACGCGCCAAGAAACATTAAATATCTTAGTTATAAGTTGATTTCAGTAATTTAGTTGCGCAAATTGAGGCACTGGGTGCGAAAAGGGCACTTCTTGGTTGCAGTGTTTCAGAGTCTCCTCTAATATTTCATTCATTGTAAGGAAAGTGAATTCACCATTAATATTCCATAATAATATTCCACCATGAATATTCCATTTCACTAAAAATTCTACTGAATATTCCTTATGATTCTACAATTTTCTATGGAAAGAATTCTGGAAAAATCACCCATTAAAGTCTTTTCCAAGGGATTAATTGGCAACAGAGATTCTGAAACACCGCAATCGAGAAGTGCCTTTTTCGCATCCAGTGCCTCAATTGTGTTCTAAGTGAAATTTTGGTCGAGAAACATGTATCAAAATGCTTAACTTTGTACCTTGTCCAGTGGTTTATTATAGCTTTCATTTTTGGAAACTCTCAATCTTCGTGTCGAAATGTCAATTGTGAAATCTTAATATTTGTTTTTATTGTATGTCTCATCACATCACCCTTGCAAAGGAAATGAACCAAACACTGCGTCATTAGTTAAGGTGAACCTACCCTAGAAATAAGCAAACATTAAAGTATCAAACAACTATTCCTTACTTACCGGTTCAGTAATTTCTATTTAAACGTCTAGCAAAAAAACGGATCGATTAGGTCTCTAAGCACAGCCATTTCTTCCCAAAGAATCTATGTGTAAAACTCCAAATAAAGCTGAAAGTATGGAAAAGCTAAATATTGCATGCAGGTAGTCAAATTGAGTTGTTCATTTTTGCATTTGCATAATATCAGTTTTATGTTAGGGTCAATAAAATAGATTCTTTGGGAAGAGACAGTGAAAATGCGGCCTTTGGTGTGATTGATCCCAATTTTTGCCAAAAATTCAAAGTGGAACCAATATTTTAGCTTAATGTGATTGACATTTTGATGTTTGTGTACTCTTGCTATAGACTCACCGTAACAAATTGATTTCCTCCTTTAACTGCAAAATTACCTCAGTATCTAAATTTTCTTTGTTCTTTAATTTGCAGGATCATGGCTATGATTTCAAGGCTGACATCTGGTCACTGGGTATCACTGCCATTGAAATGGCAACGGGGACTGCCCCATACCATAAGTATCCACCCATGAAAGTTCTAATGTTAACACTCCAGAACGATCCACCAACGTTAGACACTGGTGCTGATGACAAAGATCAATATAAGGCCTATGGCAAAACTTTTAGGAAAATGATTGTTGATTGTTTACAAAAGGATCCATCCAAAAGGTGAGATGCGAAAGATGTCTTAGTAAGAAATAATGATTTTCTTCTCTACCCTTCATTTTCCCCTCATTTTTCCAATCCTTCCTGCAGGCAGCAGCCACCTGTTGTTTCCGGACTCTATTCTGATTGTTTTAGGCTCTTACTGGCTGCCTTTGACCATTTCTGTCCATTTTAAGCTGATTAAGTTATCAGAGAATCTGTTAATGTTGTCAGCAGGACGCCTGTTGATGACAAAATTAGGACACCGGTTGGTAAAGTCATTTGGCACCAATTTGTTTTGTGTATTTTTAGTGGCTCTTAGTTCTAAAAATGAGTTCTGATTTAAGTTCAAAATTATAAATGAAAGTAAACAATGACAGCAAAATACTGGGAATTTCTTAAATTATTTCAAATATGTGAAATAGTTAATAAAATTACCCTATTTAATGTAGAACTAGCGTCAGGAAAGTTTGCAGCTGTGTAATTTTAATTGTCTCGTGCAGTGGACAGTTTTAGCAAGATGTCTTCAGAGAAAGATGTTGTTTTGTGTCATCTGTGCAGAACAGCAGCTCAACATTGTCATTGCTCTTGAGGTATCCCATTTTCAAGACCTCTTGTCGCAGCATTCCCTATTTTGGCGTATGACTAAATGTGACCTGCCCGTCATATAATCGAGAAGTTTCCGCATCCTTGGTATTAATGAGAGTAAATTTCTTAACATTGCTCTATCTTTTATTGTATTCCAGGGCTTTAGGTTTGCTATAATCATTTAATTATGTTTTTACAGACCTTCAGCAAATGAGCTTTTGAAGCATCCATTTTTCAAAAAAGCAAAAGATAGGAAGTATTTGCAACAAACCCTGGTCGCAATGGGTCCTAGCCTTGAAACCCGAGTTCAAAAAGTAAGTTGAATGCTCTTTTATTGTATTGCTGAGTTCATACATTGCAAGCGAGAGCTGGAAATGGAGGCGTTGATGCTTTTTTCTAGCCCTCTCATTGGCTAGTGGTGCAACTTGGGGTCATGGATGACCCAATTTCAGCGCCAATTGGACCGCGTTAAACAGAAAGGAACCAAGCCACATCAGCTATTGCCAAATTTAATCATGCAATTTAATTTTTTACATGAAAACAGTTGAGCGGATTTTTGTGCAAATTTTAGTGAATTTTCTCCATGGTACAAAGCAAATTTCTTAAAATTTTCCAAGGGATCCACACAAACGTTCTTTTGTAAAAAATGAATTTTCCTTGTTAAATTTGGCAATAGCTGATCTGATGTGGCTTGGTTCCTTTCTATTTAACGCGGTCCAATGTGCAGTGAATGTGTGAATGCGTGTTTGTGTGAATTTGACAAAAATTGCTGTTTCCTCCTATTTTTGTGTGGGATTGATGAAAAGTGTTGTACGAGTATTACTTGATTTTCCAAACCGTTGATGGCTGTTTCAATTTTGGAATAATGAGAGACAGGTCATGTTTTTTTTATTCAAGCTTGTTCATTGTCTGTGGGATGAAATAAGAACAAAAGAGACGTAGAGCTCACGTTTTCTTATCTTTTCTTTCAGCGCAAGTTTTCCTCATTTTATAGATATTCTTAAGCTGAGCTAAGCAATGAAATCACAATGTGACTACCTCTCTTACACCATTATTTTTAAAGTAGCCATGTTTGTTTATTGTTATAAAAGATTAAAACACTTAGGAAGCCCTGTTTAATTTGAGTGTTAAGTTTCATTTCATGTTAATTTAAACGGTTATAGTCTCCTGGTTTCTTGTATTCTTAGTATTCATAATTTATGTTGATGAATCGATTTAGTTTTATTTTAAAAATTAATTTTAGAGCAGTTTTTTAAATTGTATTCTCAATTAATCCATCCCTTTCTCCTGATATTAATACCCCTTATGCTGTATGTTGCTCTTGTGTTTGTCTGTTTTATTAGTTACTCTTTCTTGTTCTACACTGATGTTTCATTGCTGTTAATTGGCAGTAGATCTTTATTTTAAACTACTTAGTCGCAAATTGGACCTTTTATTATGCTGGTATCATATGCTCTGGCAGTAGATCTTTAGTTCAAACTACTTAGTCGCTAATTGGACAGTTTATTATTCGGGTATCATATGCTCTCTAACTATTATTTTCTGTTGTTAGTTTTTTTGAGGTGATCAAGTGTTAATTTGTATTCCCGATTTGCCTATCATCATTTTCTTTTCTTTATTTTTAGGCAGCAAAACGGCAACCAGGAACCTCTGGAAGGCTTCACAGGACAGTCACTGGAGAGTGGGTTTGGTCCTCAGAAGAGGAAGGCGATATGTCGTCCGATGATGAGGTAGGTGGTACGTTAAGGTAGCAGCAAATCCATTTAGTATTTCAATGAAGTGCCCAAGATAGTTGTTAACAGTGATGCGGAAAGTTCTTTGCCCCCGTATTTTTTAAGGTAGCCTTCACATTGCAGTCTACAAAGGACTACACACTTCATTATCCCCTTTGCATAAAAGAGAGTGTTACAGTTTTCATCTCCAAAGTAATGAATCTGAATGAATTTCAAAAAAATAATATTATAATTTTTCCCCCTTTTCAGGTGCCTGCATGTTTTTTCTATGATCGGCCAGTTGAGCTCTTTCTGCATCCCTCTAGTTTTTGACCCCAAAATATTGTACGAAAAGAGAAGGCTTTGAACTTAGAATCTACTGCACCTACAGTGGGAACCATTTTATTTACTGGTGTTTTAAGAGTTTATGGTGAAGCACAAGCCTTTAAGATACACCTCTAGCATTCACCTTAAATGGTTTCCACTTCCAGTAAATGATAATGGATTCAGTGACCAGTGATCTACATGAAATTGAGAAAAAGCTATAGGTTAATTACAAAGTGTAGTTGAAAAAATGGTACATCGTGATCGCAAGAACAAAAACGAAAAGAAGTGAACTCTAATGAGATTAGCACTGAAAGTGTGATCGAATTCCGTTAGTACTATTCTCATGAAGTAATTTGGTTTTTCTTTTCTAAGTAAGGTTTTAATTTTTACCAGACTGAATTTTCATTCAATCACTTGTTTTTTTTTCAGAGTCGAGTGAAACCAATAAACAATATTCAACACTCAGATTCATCTGGAAGTGAAACTGATTTGGCGATAGGTGATCATGGTTCCGATGATCCTATTAATCTTGTCCTTAGAATGAGGTAATCTTGAAATTAAAGGTTTTTTTTTTTTTTTTTTTAATGGACTCACAAGGGGAGCTTCCCAAGTGTAACCGGAATTTCGAGTTGAAATTTCGCATGAAGATACTAGAGATGATTTTAGGGATGCCGTATTTTTTCGTTTTTTCGAATGGGGTCGGGAAAGCCCTCAAAAAAAGGGCTAAAGATGCGGAAAAAACGCGTGCGCTAGCGGCACAAGGTAAACATAGGTGATAGAGGCTCCCCATCCTTATCAGTTCCGCATGGCCAAACGGTAGCGTGCTCGCCTCGCAGGCGGGAGGTCGTAGGTTCGGATCCTGACTACAGCCCGTAATTTTATTTTACTTTATGCTTGTTTATTTTTCACTTACTTTATTTTGCACCATTCTCTCCGCAAACCGACTTACGAGGTAGAACACGTAGTGACTGAAGATTTTTACATACTTATGCTGATAAAAACTTGAAGTTTCTCTTGGATTGAAACGTTATATATAATTGAATAAACAAAACACTCTAAAACTCACCAAATTTCGTTGCCAAGCTGTATTTCCGGAGTATCAGTCAGATACAGATACAGATTCGACTGATACTTCGAAAATTCAGCTTGGCAACGAAATTTGGTGAGTTTTAGAGTGTTTTGTTTATTCAATTATATATAACGTTTCAATCCAAGAGAAACTTCAAGTTTTTATCAGCATAAGTATGTAAAAATCTTCAGTCACTACGTGTTCTACCTCGTAAGTCGGTTTGCGGAGAGAATGGTGCAAAATAAAGTAAGTGAAAAATAAACAAGCATAAAGTAAAATAAAATTACGGGCTGTAGTCAGGATCCGAACCTACGACCTCCCGCCTGCGAGGCGAGCACGCTACCGTTTGGCCATGCGGAACTGATAAGGATGGGGAGCCTCTATCACCTATGTTTACCTTGTGCCGCTAGCGCACGCGTTTTTTCCGCATCTTTAGCCCTTTTTTTGAGGGCTTTCCCGACCCCATTCGAAAAAACGAAAAAATACGGCATCCCTAAAATCATCTCTAGTATCTTCATGCGAAATTTCAACTCGAAATTCCGGTTACACTTGGAAAGCTCCCCTTGTCAGTCTGAAAAGTACTCTGGGCGCTGTAATAATGTTGAAATTGAAATTAAGGCTCTAAGTAGCTTAGAAATTGTCATGTGAAAACCTGAGTTTTGATGCCCACAGCAAAGAAATAGCACAGAAAAAGTCTCTTATCAATGCTATGTAGGAAAGCATTTTTTCCTCCTGCATTTTAACAATATTTAGACTGCTCAAATGTGTTTTTTCTCAGTGCAGTCAACCATCAATAATTCAATCTTTATTTTATAATCTCCTGTCAGATATAACTACTCGTAAGATGAGAAATCTTAATCAAGAGCAAAGCTGTGAATCCTAAGTAAACCTAATTGGTCTGTAGCGCAAGTCACACTCTGATGGCTTAAATTTAAAAATCAACTAGAAGTAATAAAGATCCATCCCAACGTCAAAATTCTCTGTCCAATATTAACAAAGATATCGCCCTTAAAAAATACAGGGCCCATGACACCATCTACCGCAAGAGTGTATACTGCAATTACTTCAACATCGGTTTCATCCATGTATTAAGTTGAGTAAGCAGTACCAATGTGTAGCTTGCTGATCGATGAAGTCAAGGTGGAAGAGACCACGGTATGAGCACCTTTGCAGTGGATGACGTCATATACTGTGTTTTTCATTGAGTAATATCTCTGTTGATATTGGCTAGAAAGGCATTTCTCATCCCCTCTTGGCTCTCCTGCCACAAAATGTTTAACTGTCCAGATTAAAGTCCCTAGGAAACAGTTATTCACCACATTCATGCCCAAAATCTATTTTGTGCTTGCTGTCAACCTTCAATAACATCCAGAATCTCTCATAAGTATCAAATAATTCTCAAATTTTTTCTGATTGTTTTAGGAATTCCAAAAAGGAATTAAACGATATCAAATTCGAGTTCGCTATTGGGAAAGATCACTCTGAAGGCATAGCATCGGAGCTTTTCGGTGCCGGTTTGGTGGATGGGAAAGACGTCTCTGTCATAGCAACCAATTTGCAAACTCTAATTGAAAATCATCGGTCTATTAAAACTGTTGTATTTCCTTTGGTGAGTACTGATATTCAACTCATAGATCTTACTCAGTGGATATCTTCAGTCAATGGTTTTACAGAAAATTTGTATTCTGAAATTTTGAATTGTATTCATTATAAAAATATTAATAAATAAAAAATGTTTATCGGTAGCTAAAAAGTAAGACAGCCCCTTTTTGAATCTGTAATGTTATTTGGCAGTTTTAACTGACCTGAGGCAAAGTTGTCCCCAACAATGAGCAAACAAGTTTATGTTTCTAGTATAAAATATGTTGTAGAACACAAAACGTCAGAAGGTACTTATCAAAATGCTGAGGTATTTTCACTAATTTTTATCGTGAAGGGGAAAAAATGGATGCATTTTCTGGTTTATTTAAAGGAGTGTCATTTCAAGAAGAGGTAAGGGGTGTTCTTTCTATTTTATCCGTAAAGACAAAATTCTCCTGCTTCCTCGATCGTCTCCTTTAAATAAGTGTTATTGAACCTGAGGTTACTAAAGAACCTCCCTGGACCTCTTCAGCTCATCTTTAAAAATGAAGGACCCAAAAATGTTTGTCCAAACCTGAAAAAAGCTATGTTAGACTGTCCCATTTTTCTTTCTGGCATCTTGTAAAAGGTTAATGCAGTATACCAAATTTCATATAAATTCCAATAGCAAAAGAGGGCTCACAACCCAAGACCAAAAATTGGTTTTTACAACTTTGCTCCCCCACAGCTTACAGAGGTTTGATTCTTGAACCTATCTCCCAATGACAAAAATTAGTAGTCACAGCTCTCAAATCATCCTTTGAATACAATACCAACCCCGGAACAACTAATGCATATGTGCACAATGTTTTGCTCGAACCATTTGAAAATTTAATCCGTCCATTTTTTTAATGATATTTTTCAGAATTCCGGTTCAGAGACTGAACGTGACGAGAAAACACTTGTTGGATTTGCTCAAATATCGATAACAGATTGATGACCGACATGCCTTAATGGATCCTCCCGTAGTTGCTAACTTCGCTCACTCTCAACTGATCTAATCATAGTTCAGTTTCCTTTCATCCCAGTATTTCGGTGCTATTTTAGTTAATTAGCGATACACATTTTTGTACCAGTTTCGCCCTTGTTTTAGAAAAATTAACCTATAGCTAAGCGATCCCCCATAGCCTTTACTGCTTCTACTGTAACAGTACAAGCAGATCTTTAAACAGACCCAAGCATCCAACTATTGTCAATAACGATGGTTCTCAAATCCCTCTTAGCCTTTGTTACTTACAGTGAAATGTATGAATTTTAGTATTCACAAACCAAGAGAGTCAAATGTTTCTATCTTATTTCTTTGAATTTTTAAAGTGCCAAGTTGTTAGCTGGATGTACTAATTGGTTTAAAACATCATCAAAAATTGTTTAAATTTTGGCCTGACTCAAGCCCATAAATTAGGTATTGAAATCATCAAAGATTTAAGCTATTTAAAATTGGATCCATCTTTTTCCAGGTATATAGCTGTGGATTTTCTTGATTAGGAAATTTTTCTTCTAGATAAGTCCGTATAAAAATGCAAATGTATTTGCTATTTTTCAGAGCATAAATTTTGTAGTTGGGGCTTGTCGTTGGTACCAGTATTTGATTGAATTATAGATTTAGTTGAACACTATAGTTCGCATCACGAAAAGTGGCAGCTGAGGGGTGGGGCTAGTTGAATTGTCCAGTCGCTTCAACCCTTCAACAAAAGGACCGGACTAGTCAACTAGTTCCACTTTTGTGCACTTTTTGTGGTGTGGACTGTAATGAAGATTCGCGTTAGGAAGCAGAATTGAAGATACTCAAAGGGGCCGTTCATAAAATGTGTAGCACTGTAGAGTGGAGGAAGGATCAAAGCCCCAGTAAAGGGGGAATTTCAGAAGAGAAGGGGGGGGCATATTATATTGCGCTGAAATTAGTGTGGAGTGCTGATTTTGAGAAAATTTAAGATGAAAAATCGTTGTAAGGTGGCAACTCATCCACTATACATTTAAAATTGCCGATTTGAAAAAAGATGAGTCGAGAAAATTGCTATACAATTTTTAGGTAGCTGCAAGCCTCCATTAGGGGGTTAAATATCCAATTTTCAACATTATACATTTTGCAAACGGCCCCGAACGCAAAATTATAAGATCATGCCATCTACAATTCTTGTAGAGGGTTACCTCAATCATACAAACGTAGATATCGTTTTTTGGAATCCAAATTGCTGCCATTTCCGTCAAAAACTCTCTGTTCCCACGAAAAGAATTTTGAACTTAACATGATTGTCATAGAACTGATAGCTTATGACTTAAAATTCAAATTACGAATGTGCATTTGAAGTTTTGAACCTACTAAGTTCTAATTAATCACAAAGAAAGAGTGAATTTAGATTCCAGGATTTGAAGGTGAGATTCAAAGATTTTGACAAGAATTGTCTGTAAGTTTAAGAATTTACCCACTGCTTTGTTAAAGGACTTCTGTTTCAAACCACTTTTTGAAAGTGAAAATCACCTATCAACAGTGAAACTGCAAAAACTCTTATTTGCATTAAAGACTTCTGATCATACTTCATTTTCTTACTAGCAAACTACTCAATGTCATATTTTAAAAACTTCCCTGAGTTTTTCTCTCTGTATGAAAAATATTTTGTGAAAATTTCAAGCTGTGATGTTGGTCCGGTCTCCTTTGAAAAAGTATAATAGGAGCAGAGTTTTGAAACATTTCAATCGAGTTATGCATTTTTTCAGTTTCACCATTAATACTGAAAAATACACGGCCTCTAAATGAGTTGAAGTGCTTGTTCCTATAATATTCCTGAAAGGTATCTTTGAAAAACACTTCTAAAAATCTTCGAATTAGATCTTTTAATAGTCTTCTCATTCTATTTTGATGTTCACGTATTTACTTACGTATCTAATTTTTTTTCCACTTACCATTTTTCTATTTTTCCTCAAGTTTTTGTGATATCTCGATGTTTTCTTAATATTTACTTAATTTTATATGTCGTTAGAATTAAGTGAGAGAATGCAAGAGAGCACAGCTGTATATCCTGGAAAACAAGCCGACGTAAGGCTTGACGCCCTAGCCTCATCTATGTAGACCTTGAACTTTTCATTAGTCAGTTTTATGTATGTTTTGTATACCTCTGATGTAAGATTTAATTTATAGTCGCTCTTTTAAATTTCTGTTTTGTCAAATACCTTGTTTTCAAGAATCTTAAAATGCAAGTTCTACCATCAAATTGTTTTTTCTCACAGTGACGTTAATTAATCTTCGTCCGCATTCTGAAACAAAGAGATTTGCTACAACAGTAATCAGCATTTAGACTGAGTCCTAGTTCTTCTTTGGTAGATGCTGAATGCTTTTCTTAAAAAAATTACTAATTGTCTACTAGAAAAAAGATTTGCTGTCCATTAACACTTTACTGTGCCTCCGTTATTGATCAACCATTCAATGTACTTAAACTTAGTCTAAAATTGGATGCATTTCCGTAAAAGAAGACCACTGCAATGTGTTCCCTAGGTAGATACATAGTCTTCTTTTTCGTGAATGCATCCAACTGTTGTTTCCCTCATACTCTTAAGTAGAGGAATAGACTATTGTAACAGATTCATGGAACTTTTTCTTTGACCTGCTGTCAGATTTTTGTTACATCTTACTTCTGGTCACAATTTTCCTATCTTAAAGTTTTCTTCTAGCAATTCTTCAAGAATGAAAAGTCGAAAGGTAAAAACGCAATAGATTTCTTTCTGCATTGAATCAAGAACTCAAGCAAACCATTTCTAACTGCTTCTTTGTTCCTGAGAGGGCTTTTGTCTAACTAAAAAACCGTTTCAATACAAAATGAAAGCAACCACTTTTTTTGGACTGAATCTGAAGACTAATTTTCCCCAATCCTGTCTTGAAAACGACAAAATTTTACCATAAATCTAAATTTTTAAAATTCGTAGACCTTAAAAAATATGTAGGCTTCTAAAACTTCCTCTTGAAGTAACACAGGTTTACCACTCGGTCATCTAGGAATATTTTAAGAGCTTTGTATCTTGTCAGTTTGAATGATTAGTACTTATTTTTAAATTAGCATGCCTAATTGACCATGAAATCTGCTTAATTTTACAATTTTATCCACGTTTTGTGGATCAAGTTTTTGATTAGTGTGTCTGAATCAATGTTCCCTCATTTTATTGATGTGTTGTGTAAACACAAGCTGTCATGTTTTGATGTATTATCTTCGCAGGGCTATTTTTGATGAACCTTATCCAATCGTAGGAAAATTAGGTCAATTTTGGCTATTTGAAAGTTATCTGCTAACTTACCTCGGGCATATTGTCCCTTCGACCCGTTTTCAGTTACAGCTCAGACATTGTATTGAAAAACTCACGTTTGTTTACTCAATTGAAAGAAAATAATCAGTCCACATTTTTTTTTATAAGATGTGTTGTTAAACCCAAAAATGCCCGATGAAAATCACCCGAGTGTCATAATGAGTGTTGTTAAACTCTGATGGATTTGCCCGATCTCCGAGATGGCTGCCTGACGTATTGCGCAAAAACTCTTCAAAGGTTCGGAATGTTGGGTCGGCGCTAAGTTTTTGATTTGCAATTGTTAAAATTTATTGCTGATGTCTTGATGACCTGTCAATAATGTAAAGATAAGGTCAGTTGCATTCCTTTTTGTTGGGGATAACAGCGCATTTATACTGAGTTTATAAAGGTGAATTTCTCAGTCTATGATTGTAAACGTATGAGAATTGTGTCATTCATCACTTCCCTACCTTAAGTTGAATCCGAATAATGAAAGAATACTTTTTCCAGAGCTCAACTTGATTTTCATATGAAGAATTGTCAGCATTGAAAACAAGTTTTAAATGCTCTGAGAAATATCTCTAGATGTTTACTTGAGCTTGGACTCGTTCATTGAGTATTAAAAATCCAAAGAAAAAATATCGATTTAAATTTTTGGCACTTGCTGACATGGGATCACATTGTCTAACCTAATTATCCTTCTTATGTACTTCAAGGTGAGGAATTGCTAAAATTACAAATTTCTGTGGTTTTTTAAAATAATTAGAATGTGCTGATGTATTTTGAAATCATAATATGCAATCAAAGTTCTCCAAATCCGATTGTTCTAAACTCATCTAATCGTAAATTCTAACAAGGAGACCGGATTATGAAGTCACTATATTTGCATAACTTGTGCATTTTCGATGACTAGCAGAAACAGAAGTTTCTTATCATTGATTTTGATTCTAAATTTTTTGTAAGTAATTTTTATATCTCAAACGCAAGATCATGTGATACTCTAAGTTGTTGCCTCTTTAGTGTGTTCGATTCAATTGTGATGAAAATTTTTCATATGGTTCCAACGGAATCTCTCACTCAATTCGGTTGAGTTTTGTACATTCTATCCTCAACCATTGCTTATATCAATGACTCGAATCTAAAAAATTGAAGTGAAAGTGAATATATTTTACAATAGAAAACCAATCAGCATTTTTCAAATATGTATTGACGATCTTCGATCCTTCCCATTCCTCAATTTCCCAATTAAACTTTGAACAAATGCATATTGCTCAGGTTTTCTGAGCATTCAATTCTCCATTTTTTTTTCATCTATGTCTGAGATGAAAAAAGAAAATTAAAAAATTTCAACAAAAATACACACCTACCAACATTATAAATAAAATAGAAATCAAAAACAGACTAGTAAAAGGTGAAATGGGCTACGTACACCAAGGGGACCTTTGCGTTACAGGGAGCGCTGTTTTCTCTGGAAAGCTTCCTTCTTTTAGATTATCTCTACTTTTTCCATTCTTGAAAAAACCAACGAAGCACAAACAACTTGAAATTCGTGATCGATATACTTTTATATTTTTGGATTAGGAGTCATTGATATCTGATTTTTCTCTCTTTTTCTACTCTCTTTCTGCCTTGAGATAAGTTTTTTTTTACATTACATGCTGCTTTTTTCTGAATGTCTTCAGCACCCAGTATATCCAATCAGCTATATTGTCTTTTGTTAATATTTTCAACCCAGCATTGTATTTCTGGAGGCTCAGTTTCAGGTGTTCCTGTAAGTGATGTCAACACCAGTTTTAGGATTTTGTTATTTTGTGTTGTTTTACTTTTTGTAGGAACTACTACAAAACTTAGAGCTTGTAAAATAAAGTCTTACAGCAAAAATTCATGTCTTATAATTTGAACCTATGGAAATGATAACTGGATCAGACTGACAATGAGCAGAAAGGAACCAAGGGATCCAAGCCACATTTTAAAATCAAGAGTCAGAGGTAGTTTTGAACTCGTACATCTTTTCTCGACAAAATATTGAAGTAAAGAAAAGAGGGAATTGAACCTGAAAGTAGAGGCTGAAATTTTACCATAAACTATGAGAGTCTTAAGAGAGGGTAAAACTCCAAACTTTTTTTCTTGGTTCCAACTTGATGTAGCTTGGTTCCTTTACCCAATTTTCCCTTCTTAACTCAATTAAGACTTTCAAACTAGAGATTAGTCTGCCTAAAGAAGTTTTCTCGGCTAAATGTTGGTGTATGTATCTATCGTATGCCAACCGTTTTTTTGACGGATTTAAAGGCGTACCTATATCTCCGCTAATTTGAAAAACTTGACCAAATTGCTTGTGGGGTGTAGTACACCATTTGGACTGTTCATTGGTGAAAAGAAACCGGAAATGCAAATTACAGATGGGAAGGAGTAGTGCGAAATAGGGTCCAGTCAGATTCAAGGCAATCAAATTGAAATTTTCACGAGATCTGGTTATTATTAAGAACCAGGACGGTATTGATTTCAAGTGCAATTAGCCTGATCAATAATGAACAGTGAGTTTTGACATGTTTCTTCAATTGGGGGTGTTGGAATTATTTGTTCAGTGGACATTAAAAGGTAAAAATGACTATTAAAATGGACTTTTTATGAACTCACCAAAATCAAACTTAAAAAGATTGAGTTTCAAGAAATCCGGTTCGCAGTACCGGATTTATCATTTAGGCGCAGTGCGCTGGTAAAAGAGATTTTAACATTCTTCGCTCAGGCACATAATTTTTTTCCTTACCTGTATCAGAATCTTTCTTTTGTGGGTAACTTTGCGGCTGATTGTGAGTTAGGGACTTGAAAATTAAAACTTAATATTTTCCGTCCTTCTTAGCCTAAAAGAAGATGTGTTTTCAGAGTGTCAAATATTTCTGAGTCGGGCGATTGATAGCTTGCCGATTTCATTCCCAGAATTCCGATAACCCAGCTTAACCAAATTTTGAACATGCCGCTCAGTGACTGGTGAATGATGACAGTCTGCCTGATGATATTGTTGTGTTTACGATTATGAAATGTGTGACAGACCAGTGACAGACATTTTTCAATTGCTCGAAATTTTTCCTTCCCTTCGTCGTGAAGAAATAGTTTCGTCTTTTTTATCGCTCGTACGTTAATCCGATTTTGTTCTACGGGTATTACGGGTAACATTTCTACAATGCATTCCGGACGCCTATCGTGGTCTTACCTTCTCTAACAGATTCTTAAGTTTTTATCTCCAATGGCTGCTGCTGGCATGCACTCCCTCTTGAGCTTGAATAATCTCTCAAGTTTATCCCATAGTCATTTCTTTCGTAAGTTTTTCTGTATTTGATTGAACTCCATCCGTCTGCCCTACAGTCGGCATAATGGACAAAGAACAGATCATTCTATTTGCTGGAATCACAGGCTGTGCCCTAGCCCTAGCAGCATATGTCATTTGGGGACCCTCGCCGACCAGGAAAAAGAAAGGTGAGAACAACAACTTTATGGCACTGAACACTCATAATTCACCATCGAGATTTTTCTGATAAACCCCCACTTCATATAAAATCTAACTGAGTTGTAATCCTAAGTATTGAAGTTGCATCATTCATTCCTATTGAACTCAGTATTAAGTCCTTAGCCTTGACCTTTTTTACCTCCTGTTTGAAAGATTTTATTTTTTCTCCCTGTTCCTCCGAGGACTTTTCATCATCATATGCATAATTTACTTCTAAACTATGGTATTTGGTTCACGATAGTGTCTCTTATCATTAATTGATAACAACAGAATCAACTGGGAAAGGTCAAAGTACCTACCTACCAGACAGGAATAGATTGACTCAGACCTAAGAATGCACATGGAAGGAAGTTTTACATTACAGGAAGTTATGGCTTATATTTATCATCATTATCACCGTATCATTAAATTTTCAGAGGTAGGATTGCAACAGGTTATGTTATTGTTCGGATCCATCTGAATACTATCAAAGCCTGTTTTGAATGAAGAATCTGTGCGTAACATACCCGCAGAATTGGTCTACCACTCTTTTTACAGCTGAGAATACTTTTTCAATTCAAAAGACACTTGTCTCTTCTGCATCTCTAAAACTTAATCCTAACCTGCTTTTCCTGATGTCAGACTCACAGGTTTAGTCGGCATTTGAATCCTGCGTAAATCCTACAGGTCTACCTTCAACCTTTGCACACCCAGTATGTTTTAACGGTATGATTCTTTGTAGGACCCATCGTTGGACTGCGGAATCTGGGAATGACCTGTTTCCTAAACACAGTGCTCCAGTCACTAGCATCATGCTCATTCTTTGTTGAGTGGTCAGTGTCACTACCTCGAAAAGGAAACCTTACCCAAACCATTGAGAAAATATTAAGGAGTAAGTGTGATCTTCCTTGCTAGTTCCCTCTCATGATGTCTTTAACTATAAATTGCATTACTTTCAGCATAGTTCTGGACATAATCTTCAGATTTTTCCTGACCGACTCTCTGGTAGAACTCATGATGACAGCACCACTGAAGAGCAATGTCTGTGAACTAAGCTATGTATATCTTGGAACAGGTTTCCGAATATTCAAGCAATCCAAAACATAACTATTGTTTTCCTCAATCCAGATGTCTATTTTTGTTGTGAATAAGTATATATAAACGGCTTAAGTCCGCAATCACATATCTCCTTAGCGGTTTCTGAAAATCTCCGCCTCTATGTTATTTTTTTAAAGGAGATCAAATTGACATCATTCCTTGAAGTTTTTGCAGAATTTTCTTCGCACAGAGAAGAAATTCACGGCAGTTTTAAAGAATTACCATTGAGTAGTTTTCTGTTTGTAAAATAAAGTATGACAGGAATAAATTCATTCTTATCTTTTTTTTTAGTTCTTCTTCGAAAAAAATTGTGTGAAGATTGTATGCTCTTACATTCAAACTGACACTAACATTATCTGTTTTCAGTTTTAAACGGAGAGGTAAATGGAGTGGATATTCCATATTCTCCAATTGAAATTGTGTCAGCAATCCGTAAGCATGGCTGGACTATGCCTCACTCTGAACACGATGCTCATGAATTTTTCCATGTTGTCTTAACATCCATTGAAGAAGAAATCACCAAAAACAGTCCTCTGGTAATTCCAAGTTCTTCCAACCTTAGTCATATTTGTCCTCTCCCACTAAAAGAAATATAATTCGATTCCCATTGCAATGCTAGATTAAATTAAAGTGCACACACAAGTACAATTCAGTTTCCGAAATTGGAGGATGGTCTATGGTTCAAATATGTGATGTTTGTGATGTTGTATGATAGGAATAAAATGTTTCAAATTGCTGGATAAACCATCATTAATCCTTCCTTTTTATGATAAATTTTGGTATTTTAATTTGCTAGTGAGAAAAAATAATGAAAATGGCACTTATGTTACAAATTTTCTACTTATTGTTTAGCTGAAGGAAGTAGGTAAGTGGAAAAGAAGTCAAACAAATGAAATAAATTGGAGTAAAAGTGAGTAAAAGACTCAAAGAAAGGAAGAGAAAAATGATACCATGCACCATGAGAAACGTATCTTCTCATTATAGGAAGACCTATCCTGTACATGGTGTCTTACTCCAGAACAGTAGCTCAGTGTGTGATTTTCAGCGTATCCCTTCTTTCAACATTTGTATCTTTAAGTTTTAATACATGTCCTAAAAACCTTTAAGTATGGCTCAATGCGATAAATGCAAACATTCTCAATCGCAATTTTAAAAGTCCCCAATCATGTTACATTTCCTCCATGGAGAACTGATCAAAATATTTCCCTGCAGTTTCGTTTTAAAATGAGCGGAGAAAATTGACAGACAATTTCAACAGAAACAGTCGGTTACATACCTTTCTTTCATAAAATTAAACATGAACAGAGACTCACAGCGGCACAATCTGAGGTACGCATATTTTGACTCAAGCCATTGATGTGATAATTTATTTTCTTTCAGCGACTAATTCGGCTGCATTTCATAAACCATGTAGCTGTTGAGTTTCTCTGTAAGCCACATTTATCCAGACCTTACAGATGATTTCACGTATTTCCAACTGTGTTTAAATTTGTGTCGTGACATTTTTTAGTTGCAATTGCGTTAAATTTGTAAAGAAAATTAACTGTTTTTTTTCAGAGGAAAAGTTGTCTGCTAGATGTTCTGGAAGAAGAACCCTCATCCACAGAAGAGAAACATCAGGACCATGGAGATACTCCACCAGACACGCAAAACATTTCAATTGTAGAAAACAAGTAAGTCTTTCATTTATCTTGATGTAACTGATTATTTCACCCTCTCATGTGACCATTCCTAAAAAAAGGAACCCTAACACTAAGAATATTTTAATTTTGTCTCCATCGATAAAGCCCCTCTGAGAACCACCTTCCATTTTGCAAAGAATACCTAATATCCCTAATTTTAAATGGCCCCTGCAACTCAGCAGAAAGTAATATGTAGGTAGCCCGTTTCCTAACATAAAACACTAAATGGTGTGGTCCCACCACCATTTCACCACCTTGCTTAACATAAAACTAAATAAAATATTTATGAGGAGACCTACTAGAAGAAAGAAAAAGCAGTGGATGCAGTGAAATTATGCAAAGTGCAGGTCTTTTTTCACAATAATTGTCAGTCATAATTATGTTTTTATCTTTAAAATTCAAAATTTTCAGTAATTTTATTAATGTTTCATTGTTTTTCCCAAACGAGTAGACAAGGACTTATATGCCATTTTCACTTCACCATCTATACTATAAGCTCCAAGACCTCCTAATTTTGCAAAACTGGTGGCGCTTATTTCCAGCGTTCTACCGGGCCGATTTTCATGATTTTTGCGGCTATCGACGGGCAATTGTCTCTAGATAAGCCAACTCTTTTCAAATTTTCAAAATATGGCCCAGGTTTTTTTATATTACTTGATAAAGTTGCGAATTCTCCCATTTAAACAATGTAAATTTATACTTTTTGTCATAGTTCGATTGAGCGTTCTACTGGGCCGATTTCTATGATTTTTGCGTAAATCAACAGGTAATAGGCCCTAGATGAGCCCGCTGTAATCAGATTTTGGAAAAAGGACCAAGGTTTTTTTAAAATCACGTTATAAAAGTGAGTGAGTTTACAGAATGCTCCGGTACTGCTACCGCTATGCGCGGGAGGATGCGCAGTGGTCGAGGAGGTTGTGCAGTAGCTGTGTAGCCTGCGCATCAGCTCTACACTTATCTACACAAGATTCGCACATGCGACCTCACGGCGAGCGGTGGCCGATTCGTCTAAGACGTCGAATTCATCCACTTTGAACTCGGTGTGGGTTCGATCCCCGATCCATGAGATCTCAATTATTACTTGACTATCATTGCTCATTGTTTTACTGCAATATTTCATCAAGCAGTCATTCCAAAACGCGTCCTTTTAATTATGAAGTAATTTTAAGTAAAGTTTAAAATTAAAGTATACCTCATATCGTAATTTTTTAAGGGAAAAATAAAACTAACACTGATAGGAGGGTAAAAAAGGGCCGCGAAGCGGCCCATTGATGGCGCGGAGCGCCTTCAGGGGGTTGGGCCGCATAGCGGCCAGGAGGCGTAGCCCCCTAGTGAACTCATACGATGATTTACTGTTAAATGATTTAGAGCCTTTACCAGGGGTGCAGATTTTTCTAGGCCTCCGCAATTTTTTACAACAGGCAAGGTATTTCTCAAAAAGGTTAGCATGGTGTGCTGATCAAAATTTTTGAAACGCGCAAGGTTTTCGCTGACAACCTCCCCCCCCCCCCCCAAAAAAAAATAAAAACCCCCAGCCTCCACAATTTTTAGGACATATTAGCAATTTGGTCGCGAAGAAAAATTTGCAGCCTTGGCCTATAATAGTATGTGTAGAACATGCTTTCATTGAAAACTGTCCAATCAAAAATGGTTTGTAATTGTACTCATGAGAAGTGTTCACTGTTCTGTCTCATTTTGTTTCATTATTTTTTGGTGAATTTGAAACTTCCATGTGATCAATACCCCTTCATTTGTTCAAAATGGCTGTTGTGTGACATCATTTTGGCTGTCTTATTTTTAGTTTATGAATCTACAAATGGCTAATTGTCGATTTATTTCCAGGATAATTGTCTCAAATGGTGACATTGCACCGACAAGGAGTTTTGCGTGTATCAACAAAACATCTCTGAGCTTGGTGGACAAGTCTAAACCTTCTCCATTCAAAGGGTTTCTCACCAGTCAATTAAAATGCACCGGATGTGGATTTGTGGTTAGAATCATTCCAGCATCTACTAATTTTCATGCGTTTTTTCTTGCGTTTCAGGCATCAGGCATAAAAAATTGAATGTTATTTGAATCTTGAAGTTTTGTCATCAACAACACTGCCAAAAAAAATAAAATTTAAATTAAAAAAAGTAGTACCCCAACATTTTAGGTTGCTATTTTAATCGCCAAGCTGTGCCGTTTGTATTTATGCAAGCATCAATCTGATAAGTAGTGGCGCTATGAGAGTGGTTTTTTTCCTGCAGACAATCGCTAGTGACCACAGTGGCCTGACAAGACTAAGCACTGCAAGCCATATGGATACCAACAGGACCATTCACATCAACAGGAAAAATGAATTAAATCAAAATTTACTATGTAGCGCATAAACCCTATGCACATAGCTCCCTCCTACTCAAGTAATTTTCGTATAGTACCATATAGCAAAAAGACTTTTATTTGTCTGAGTTAATCTGTGAAATATGACGATGTACATCGATCTGTTATATGGATCCAGCCCAATGTTTTCTGATTTAAACTTCAGTTGTTGACGTTTTTCGTTTGTTTTTTGCTTCTCAGTCTCCATTAAGGTACGATCCATTTGACAGCATTTCACTTCATCTTCCCTCAGCTTCATCAGTTCTTACACACTATTCCTTAACACAACTCTTGGACAAGTTCGTTGAAACAGAGCAAGTTGAAGGTGTGGAGTGTGAAGGTTGCAACAAAAACCGTGCCGAAACGACTCCAGTCATCTCCACAGAGGCTCTGAAAACGCTTCGTTTTGGCAAAGTAAGTCCTCTATCAGCATATGGTTTCATGTGTTGAATCAGAGCCTGATAAATTGGAAATCATTGAGCAAAGGGGATCTGTCTATGTACTTGGGAAGTTTTGAAAAATAGAGTCCACCAGGTATAATGCCATCATGAAAAAGCAATTTTTTAAATGAAAAATTCCTTTGTAAATGGATTATTTTCACTTAATGACAGCAAAGTAAGTGACAGCTCTTTTTGATCAAGAGATTTAACAAGCGATTAAGTTTGAAGTCCCTAATTTTGATGACAAATTTGGGAGATCTTGAATCCTCTACATCAAGTGCTCATTTTGTTTTTGTAAAATTCTCAATTCTTTTGAACTTCACTTTATTTTGATCATGTCTTAAAATTCCCAATTTTGTCAGCCAGCCAGTATATTTTTATTGGGTGTCCTGAAATGCAATTTCACGGTTTCATTGAGCCTAATCTGCTATAATTGCTATAATTAGACAAATTGGACTACATTTTGCAATGAGGAACTTAAATTTCTGGCTCACATATAAAAATGCCCATCTGCATAGGAAAACAAATGGCACTTACGTCGTTCTCAAAGTGAGCCAGAAATTGTAGCTCTTAATTGCAAAATGTAGTCCAATTGTACCAGAATCAGCCCAACTAGTGGCCTAATTGTCTCTCATGTTTTATTTTTTCAGTTGAAAATAAACTACTTACTGTGTTCAAACTTTCAGTGACTTACAGTTAATTGTGAAAATTATACTCACAAAATTTCAAGTTTCAGTATCCCTTAGTTTTCCCTTTAAAAGATGAAACATCAGAGAATATTAGACAATGTTGTATTTTTGTTGTTGTTGTTGTTGTTGTTAAATCCATCCAATTCACGCTGATTCTCAGAGCTCATCGTTACCTAATAATTACTTTTAAAACTGTTGGAAGTATCCGCAAAGATGACTTCTCGCTGTATTTAAATAATTAATTGTTTATTTTTTTTTCCAGTTACCAAAGTGTCTATGCTTTCACATTTCAAGACTAACTATGCAATCAAATGGCACAACATACAAAAGGCAGGATACTGTGGAATTCTCAGAATATCTCACTATGGACCCGTATACTCACAATACTTTAATCAAGAAAAACATTAGCGTAAGTCTCAACTGAATCTTTTGCTCCTTTGTTTTACCATGGTCTGAACATCTCCCGGAGCCAATTATTTTAAAATGATGCAATTTTTATGGAGGCAGGTTGTGAAAACATCAGCTGTGACTTTATTATATATTTTACATTTAACAAATGGTCGTTGGTTCTAAGGATACAAAGAGTTTGGTAGGAATGGAGAATTAAAATGAACGCAACGCAAAAATTGGACAATAATTTTTGAGATCTGAGTGCGCAGAAAGCGCTGAGTGGACTTCATTTTCTCCCTACATTTCTTTAGGAGCAGTTAGCGGCCCAGCTGTTGTTTGATGTGGGTGGTGTGGGGGAGGAAAAGTGGAATCTTCTCTCATCTGCCCACAGTGCACTGATTTCAATGATTCTATAGCTCTTTACAACTCCTTTGTTTTCCTAGAACCAATGACCACTCATTAAATGCAAAATAATACCATCACTTTACAAATTCAGGGTTGGTTCAGATCAAAAATTGCTTTTCTTTTGCTTTATTTCATCTTAAAGTAATTTCATTCTTTCAAAATCTGAAAATATGCACGGAAGAGTCTAAAAACCTAACCTTGGACTCCTTTCCTCTAGAATCTTTAAGTAAGCCATTTTGGATGTTCTCCAGTGAAAAGTGGACTTCAATATCTTTTTTCTGTTAGGAGATATTGAAGCAAAAAGGTTCAGACCTTGATCCCCCCCTGCCAGTCAAGAAATTAGGGAAAAGAAGGGCTCCAGTATGAGTTATCAATTGATTTTTAAGGTAATTTAGAAAGGAAATAAGACGTGGGGGAGGGGGTGTTTTTGTATCAAGCTACTCGTCTCTAAAACAAATATGTACTTGTTCTTCCTTTTTTTTTCTATCATTAAAATTACATGGGTTGCCTACGTACTAACTGGTAGTTAAGTTATTGAGCTTCCTAACTATCTACACAGAGACATAGACTCATTTTACAAGGATAACATATATAAATTGTTCTTGCCACTCTTTGAAGCGTGGTCTCACGTGTTAAGCTCTGCCAAAATTATTTTAATTTTCATTTTAGCAAAAATTGTGGCATTTGCTGTAATCTTTTGTATCTTTGTATTGAAAACAACATTTATTTTTTCTCTTTTCATTTCAGAATAACAAAATTTCAAAAGAAACCAATGAATCAAATGGAAGTATCAGGCCTGAAGACATGTAAGTTTTTACCCCCTATCGCCATTTAAAATTTTTCTCCTCTTACTTGTCCTTGGAAAAAATAACCTTAATGGAATCCACAAAAAACCCCGCACCAAAAACAAAGACATTCAGCGCTAAATTAATCACATCATTTTTTGCTTTGATATTCTTTGTGATCTCCTGGACACGATAAGCTTTAAAAATTAAATTCTCTCTGGGTGAAAATTGCAAAAAAACAGGAGTGAAAAGTGACATTTTCAGCCTTTTTTCTGACAAAATTGTTACCACATCCGATTTGTGATTGCCTAGAGCTTTTGTTTCCTTACAACTGGAAACTGGCTGGCTGGAAACATAAGACTGACTGGAAGGATCAAATTCCCTTGAATGGTAACAGCATGTGGTGCAGCATCCAGACACACCTAGTAACAGTCCCATACCTCTCTAAGAAATCTTTTGTAAAAATGCCAAAGAATTTTCTTTTCAGCACCCTGAAGAACAAGTTGCAAGCAATTTGGCTCACTTTTGTAGCAATGGAGAGCATAAGATTACATTCTACAACTAATTTGACATTTATAATCCCCACACATGGCAGATTAAAATTTGGAATAGCTCTCTCTCCCACCTAAATCTTGTTAAAAGTTCAATATAAGTTTTTAGCAGAAAAATGTATGAACTTATCAGTTTCTTCCTTATGGTTTTATTCCAGCCCTGAATGCAAAAATCACCTTTATCGATTGAAAGCTGTGATAGTACACTGTGGAAGCAGCGAATGGGGTGGCCATTTCATCACGTATCGCCACGGATATCTACGATCTCAAACTAGACACAGGTGCAAAGATTCCCGAAACAATCCCAGGTACTCTCTTCCTGGCCTCCTTCATTCCTGCCCATTACCACCTCTCCTCTTTCTTCTCTTTCACTTTGTCTGCGTTCAGTTTGTAGAAGTGTCTGTAGTAATAGCGTAGAAGCAGCTTTTTTCCTTTCCCAGAGATTATACTTTTAATATTCTGGTCATCTTCTATTTTGCCTTGTTTCCACTTTGTCCATGGGAAGAACTGTTATTAAAGGTGCTAATAACTGGAACTGGGAAGAAACACAGGGACTCATCAGCTAAAATTTTGGATAATGCCATTGTTATGATTAAAAAAGGAACCAATACAACCGTAAGATGAATTCTTTCAAATTTTCTCTTGATTTGATCAGTAAGGCTTACCAGCCCTATCATAGCCCAAAACTGTCAAGCCGAACAATATGACGAAAGCAACATTCATTCCAGAGGAAGTTTTGACATTAATGAGGCTGTATCATTCCGCGACTTCTCAACTGCTTTGACCGATTTGGTCAATTCAAAACTGCTCTTATAAGAGTGTTTATAAATTACGTAACGCACTGAGGTATCAGCCAGTATTAAGACAGGAGAGGCTTCAGAGCCAGCCTTAACATTACCCTCTCCATTGGTAAAAAATACATTTAGAATTCAAAATGTATCATCCTCATTTTTCTGACTTTATTAGTCTCACTATTGTTTTAAATACTTCAAATTTTATCGAGGTACAAATTTAACAGTTTCCCACAGTTTTAGAGATCTGAAGAGGGGGGGGGGTCTATCAAGCATTGCATTGTAATTATTGAGCGTGATCCGGGGTTGTGTATGAAGTGTTACAAGGGGAGAGTCCCGCGATCAATAATACCAAAAAAATGATTCCGTAATTTATGAAAACTCCCTAAAACAAGTTTCAATCCAGATTGCGCAAGTTGAACACATAGCTTAGGATATTTGACGTTTCATAATGCACTCCGACACTAACATTTTTTGTCATTTACTTTGATTTAGGTGGTTCTATACTTCTGATGAAGAAGTGCGCCAGACATCTTTGGCAGAAGTTTTATCCTCGTTGCCGTACATGCTTTTTTATGAAAAATGCGAAACGCCCGGTCCAGAAGATTAATCTGAAAGGTATTGCTGATCATAGTGTTTTAAAACTCATTACAGAGCTTCTTTTGATAATTCTAGAAAAGTCAGTCACCCCTGTGCTTGTATCATTTCACCATACGCTGAGGCCATCCCAGTAGCAACTAACTCTTTTTTTAAAGAGTGTGTCTTTATGTGACATTTTTGCATGAGAAGTTTCTATAAAGGACTACCCTAATGAAGCAGCAATTAATTGTAACGTAGTAAAAAATCCATTATTGCAACCGACAGATGAAGTAGCAATGCTTTGGAGCCCTCAGTCTTGCTTGGTTTTCAATATTGCTTAATTCCTTCCTGATCATACAGTATTGGTATGTTGTTTCCAAGTTTAACCATTTATAGTTACCTATTTTCTCACTGATTGGTGTGGATACATTTTGCATAATTTTGTCTCCTTTTTCATGGCCAACTTTTTCTTTTTTCCAGATTACCAGCGGATTTTTCTTTTCCTTGCCAATCAGAACATTTCACAGCTACCTAGTCATTATCATAATTTATTCTGAGCCTCATTTTTGAGGTTTTTACTAATAAAAGGTTAAGAAAAAAAGACTTGAGTAGATTATAGTGGTTTTTGTTGTATATTTTGATGTGTCTGTACTCATTGTGATGTACCAAGAGCATTGGTAATTTCTTGTCTGTAATCTTATTTGTTCTTTTTTACAAAAATATTTGTACTTTTTTAACTTCCGCATTTTTATGGTTCTGAGGTTCTCTAGTTGTACTTTAAGTTACTCTTGTCAGTGCTCAGATCATTTTATGAGTAAAATTTCAAAATCTTTTGGTGATCATGTCATGAAGAACAGACTTATTTCATTGAGTTCAGTTGCAACTCATCAGCTGACAACTTCAAGAGAAATATTCTTCAATTTAGTTGAAGACATCAAACTAAAAATCGAATCAGATGGTGCAAAAACTAATGTCAATTTTTCCAGTTTTGAATTTGATTGCGTTAACAGCACTTTTCAAGGGTGGATACAGTCCTAAAAGTTCTGTAAAGACTGGTGTAATAAGAAGTCTTGAAGTTGCCTTAACGGCAAAACGAGTCTTAACACCACTGCCATGATTGTATGTAACCTTGCGAAGTACATATTATCAACCCCTCTTAAACTGAAATCTTGAATATCTATCTGAAATAATAGACATTTTGTTCATACTCAAAAATTTCCTTACATAAATGCGTGAATCCCTTTTGCAGTAAATTATCTTGAGATTAGTTTACAATATTTTGTTTGTTGGGGAGTCGGTAAAAAAGAGTTAATCAGTATTGAAGAAATTGGCTTGACAAATTTATCATTAAGAAAGCTATAGTTAGAGATTTGAGCTTCTGAGGCAAGAGTTCTCATCATTAATGTAGAATGTGATTGTATTTATGCTTTCAGAATCGAATAATGTCCAAGCTTAATCAAGTAATTTGCCACTTCAGCTTCTTCACTACTTTAAGTAAATCCACAGACTTGAGTGTTTGAATAGTTTAGTTTAGATCTGATTTTTATAGCAAGAAGCTACATAGCAGCAGGTCTTGGAGTTAGGCACTCGAGCTGTCTATGAAAAAATTCTATTTGATTTTACTGTTCCTCCCTCCTCACCTTTATGTTGTTCCTCCAAAACTGTTTCATCTTGCTTTGCCAAAGAAACAGGTCTACTCGGAAATACTGTCTAAAACTGAACTTTCCTTTTCAATGCATGAATATTGAATATGTATCTTGAAGTAAATTGAAATTTTGTATTGGATAATTCAATTAAATGACAAGCTACACCAGTATGAAGTGCTCTATTTCTTTTTCAAGTACCTTAATTTTTTCTGCCTTGGAAAATGCAATCTCTTATGGCTCCAAAAAGAGACAATGACCAAAATCTACACATGCCATAAAAAAGTTGCCTGTAACTTAGATTTTTCTTGAAGAATGATAAAATTAATGGCTTTTATGAGTGAGGAAGTAGTCAACCTTTCACTGAATATTGATTTGTGATGCTGTCTAAGCAACACCAAAAAACCATCTTCGTTATGGGTGCAATATGCTGTCTTTACTGAGACCTCGATCACGAGAAATTAGAAAAATGTCCTGTTATTTCCTCTGAATCACAGAATTTGTATTTTGTTCGAGGTACTTACAGCAATTTCTCAAATCCTGGTGTTAAAAGAATACATTACTTTGAGGACCCAGTAACCTATATTTAACCTTTGTGCTTTCCTTCCGATAGAATAGTATGTTAAGAGGTCACAGCACACAAAATCAGTTTTGAATTTTTTTTCTTATACCAATTAGAAGTTTTCTTAAAAAAAAAAAAAAATATAAATAAAAAATAACTTTCTTACTAATGGTTACTTTGTAAGAAAAAACTGTTCGTGAAAAAATGAAAGATAAAATTGGTAAGATGAAAAATCCAGCACAAAATAAGGTTTTTATTGTAGTATTTTAACATTCAGTCAACACATAAACAACTGGGACTTTATAATATCTCATCAATGGACTTGTTATTTCTCAGATAGTCTTCTTTGTCGTAGAGTTAATCTGTGCGCGGCGGAAGCATGCTGGACCCATAACCTGTCATAGAGTTAATTTGTGCACAGCAGAGGAAAACAAGAGAAGAGAAGATGAGCTTTAGTGGGCGACATGGCTTAAGCCTTTTTCTTTTAATATGTATTATATAACAAAAAACCTCAAAAAAAAAAAAAAAAAAAAAAAGGATAGAGGACAGCAGAGAGGAACAGATACGAACGCATACTAATATGCAATGCAAGGTTGACTTGTTTGCAGCATTAACATTAAATTGAAAATATTATTAGGGGTGGAACACCGACATTCTTGATAAAAACAAAAATTTCCAATCATTTGTTCAGTTCTTCACTAAGAATAAAAACAGCGACTGAAAATACATCACCTGATGTGATACTTTAGAGACGTTTTCTGAGGTGCAATCCTGCAAGTTGAAATACAGTGGAGACACCGCATCTCTTTAAAACTGCACCTAAATTTTTGAATCATTATCAAATGACCTTGATCGATGAATACAATTTTTGAACAAGGGATCTATCAATCAAAATCATTCAATGACAACTCATTGATCAACCCGCAGGTGAGATTTTGAGGGAATTCAAAAATATCATTCAAGATTTGATGAACTATTTTTGACTTGCCTCTAGGTTTGCGATTTCCAAGACTTGCAGAAAAGTAAAAATTATTCCAGATCTATATCAAAATCATTAATCAGTCTTGAAGTCTCAATCATTCATTAGGTACTTGTTAACTTGGTGAAATGAGCAACTTTCAAGAGATATTTACCGACAAATTTGTTGGTTCACTTCTTAACCCTTGTGATGACAATTTAAAGGAAGAATTTTAATCTTGCTAAATCGGTTAACTCTCAGATTTTTTGACCTTGATAAAACCAGCAACATTGGAGAAATACTTGGCCGAAGATTCATTGGTTCGTTTTTCAGCTGCTTGTGGGTTCACAATTTCCAGGCCTTGCAGAGGAGTGAATGCAACACTGGACGCAGTACCCGATATTTGTCTTTTTACAGTTGTGCTGCCACCATAAACTTGCTGCTTTTGCATATGCTTCTGTAGCGTCTTGGAAACTCGCACCTTGGTTTTCTCATCAACTTGCGCAGCTCTAATGCGTCCTGTTCCAGTCTTGCCAATTGTTCCACGGGAGTAGCCAAGATCATCTTGGTATGCATCATCATCGATTTCTGCAAAATTTAGCCTGTTTGCTTGTTTCCGCAGCTCTGTCATTGCATACCTTTCTTTGTTTTTGCGGACCCTTTTCCCTCCTCGCTTCTTGCGGCTTGGGTCGATTGGTTTTGGGAGTGGCTTTACAAATTTCACCGGGGGTGGTTCTGTCAGCTTATCAAATTTCTTCTCGATTTCCTCTCGTAACATGCGTCCAATATTACCATCAGGTGCTTCATGACAGGCATCGACACGGGCTGCCAGCGTGCTTTTGGCAGCAATAATTCTGGCTGCTTTCTTCCGCAATTCTGCAGGAAGACTCTCCACAAAATCAGAATAAAAAATGAAACCAGTATTAGGCAATATTGAGGCTTGGGCGAACCCTGCCAAAGTCTTTTTCTGGCTACCAAGGAGCTGGACATTACATGCAGGCATTTTTGATAAACTAGTTAGCCCGCCGGCAACTCCCATTAACTTGGCTGCAGTTGATGCTCCAACTATTGCAGACAAGTTTGGTGCTATAAACGTCATACGACTCTCTACATATTCATATATTTGTTGCTTACACCTATTGAGTTCAGCTGCCATATCACATGCCTCGAATACATCATGCAGTTCTTGATCCGTAAGAGGCTGTCCTTGAGCTGTGGATGCAGTAATAGACACAACCATGATTATTGCTGGAGTCAGGAACTGCTGAAGTTTTTCGTTGTTTTTTGCTTGATCAAGATCATTGCCAAGTTCTCTCACTGTCATCATGTACTCCAGAGGGCTTGCAACCAGGGATTCTAGCTCAGGAAAACGCTTTGAATACTTTTCTCTAGTAAATCGATGGATCACCACTGAAATTAAAATCACACAATTGATTAATGTGTCAGCTCTAATAAATGCTTTCAACGATGAAAAAAAAAGGAGAGAAAGATAGGATAACAAAAGAAGATTCTGGGAAAGGAAAGAAATAGAGAATAAGTGATTTGAAACGTTTTAGGAAAAAAAAACTGAAAATTCAGAACTTAGATTGATAATCAACTCAAATAGAATCCATGATTATAAAGATTTCACTTTGCTTGATGGAAGGATAAGAGGGAATTATCAAGAAGAACAACGCTCATATCTAAAAAGAGCTCATAATTTGACCTATTGTAGATGCGTAAAGCTTCCTTTAAACAAGCTCTTTGAATTAGCACATTTTTTTGCCAGTCCCCGGAAACTCGCTAAGTGGAAGCCAAGTGTTTAAAATTTCTAAAAAATCTGTTTGAAATATTTGCAAGAAACTTCAATTTGACAGAGAAAAATGCTTACCTATTTCATTATCTATTTCAACAGCTAGGTTGTTTGCTTCAACTATGAGCTGGTATTCTGAGTCTGCTTCAACAGGCCCCACAATATCGATACTATGTGGCATGGATTGGTACTTTTCAATCTCCCCCATGACATACTTCAACCGATCTGATGAGCTTAAGGTCGCTAGCTGATGAATGGAAACAGCTTTGATATCTGAAAGAAGAAATGTGACATATCACATAGAATTTCATATGAGAAAAATATTCTGTCAAGATCATGACATTTGGGTCAGACTGCTGCCACAGAATGTTTTTCCTATCTTTTGCAGTGGACCCTCCATTTTTGGTTCTGCATATAGCCACCATTTCAATTTATTGTAGATTTTAGCCAATACAAGAGTTAACTTGGAAAAACAAAAATTTTGATCTACAGATTTATCATCCCACTGAAACTATCTTGTGCGCACATTGGATGAGTACCTCCTGATGAAATGAAGTGCTGAACATTTGGAAGTTCAAGGTATTGAAATACTCATTTGCAATGTCCCCCAATGAAGTTAACAAAACACTGTGTATAACAACAGGAACCATATTATTAGCAGCTTTTTCTAGATTACTTATGGAATCTGCTGAAATATTTGGAAATGCATTTTACGCTTTACTCACAAGCAGGTGTTGTTTCTAAGTTCTCTACATACGAGAATTTTTAGTTTCTGATCATCCAGAGAACGATATATTGAGAAATCGGGCCCACAATAAAAATTCCACAAAAGTACGCCAAGAAGGATGAATGAGGAGATTTGGGAATGGAATGGTGAGTGGGACCACGATGAATACATACCATCTTCAATAGGTTTAATATTTGGTTTGATATCTGGTTTGATATCAATATCTTCTACCATGAACTCATCTACTTGCTCATCTCCATCTTCCAAATCAGCCAGAAGTTCATCAGCCAATGACATGATGGACCCTTAAATTGTTTCCTGTAAAATAATCAAATCTTATTGAGGAACTTAGATCCACAGAAGATTGAGGATAGTTTAAAATCTTAGATTTTATAAATCTTTTCAGAAAAAAATTATTTACGATTTTACTAAACAATGCTTAACCTTCCACAATCATTTAAATTATGATTCCTTTCCATGTGCTAATGATGGAATTTAAGGTTTACCTATTATCAAAGCCTAAGTCTAGAATATTAACTGTTCGGGAACATAACTTAGAGCCGACACCAATAAGTTTAAGCACTTATGGAGCGCAACAGAACTTATGCTGCTTTTGATTTAGCATTGATAGTAAATACAAGAAAGAGGCAAGATGACAGATCTCCTGTTTCTCTCAAACAGTGCATTAACCTACTTGGCATAAACTCGATAATTCATGCCACCTTCTGAAAGTCACAAAAAGTTTACTGGCGCTAATACGTGAGGGTTAGCAATATCTAAAGAGGGTCATTTTTATTGCTTGTGGCCGAGAGTTCCGAGCCAGTTCTCTAATTAGGTGAAAATGGCAAAATATTCCCGAACAGGTATTGTTCTTACTAAACCATATTTGTCTCTCAGAAAGAAGAAGATTCAAATGCAGGAATCCTGTACTATCTAAAATTCAGGTTCTAATAATATTCTGCTAATTGAAGACCTAAATGACTGATAAAACTATGACTAAATAAATAAAAACTTGTTCTTAGATTGCAACGTTGCAAGTCTCCGCTCATGCTTCATTTTTGATAAGGAAACCGATGGGCAGTTTGTAAAAAAATTTCGATGAATTTTCTTCATTCATGCTGGGAAAAAATCACTCAAATAATAGTGAAAAGTTGATTGATTTTCCTTAGAAGTAAAGAAACAAAATCTGAGATTTTTAAACGTTGCGATCGAGGCTCTTATTTAGCCATTGAAATTGATTTTGGAGACTCTGCACTACTCTGCAACGAATTTCTAGAAAGTCTATTTACCTTGCTTAGTGTGAGGACTTGTGGAGAGATATAAGGGAGGACTGTTTGGAGTCCGTTCAGACCAGAGGTTCAGTAGACTGCGCTATGTGTTTCGTTGGTTCTGGTGCAACTCACAACCAGCTTTGAGTTATAGCTGTGATTTTGACTGGCTTACTGTGCATCAATCTATGATCTGTAACACGAGCACAAAACAATGAAAGGGCAGGAAATCTTCTGCCTGACATACATCCACCTTGCCGATTTTATTCTCACAGTTTCACTTTTCAGTTGAACGAATTGCAACGCACAGGAACCTAACCTCAAATAATGGTTGTTGTTTTTGTTTTGATAAGACACTGCTCTCTTCAGGAATTTTAGAGAAACTGATTGATTACGTCATGATTCTTGCGTCACTCTTATTTACATTTTTGCCTCTCTTCCTTCAATTTCTCTACTTCGACTAAAAATTGAAGTTATTTACTACTTATTTTCTCTTATAGAGTAAAGTCTCGTGTCTATCCATCCTTCATCCCATAAAATTGTGAAATCGTGCAATGGAGACGAGACGAAAATTCCATGTTTGCATGCTTGTCCTACTGTGATATCAATGAAAACATCTTGCCAGTGGCCAGTGTTATTTTTCACCCCTCGTTCTGCAAGCAACAGGTTTTCCTTCATTTAGGTAAGCAACCTGCTCTCTTCCAACAAGCTTCAAAAAAATCAATTTTTGCTGGTTTCTAAGTCTTTCTGCATTTTTGATGCATCAAACTGATGATCAAGGTATTAGAAAGGGTCCGAAATGGTAAAGGCTAACATGCAAGTCGATGTTTACTTTTGTTGTTAATATGTTAATGACGTAGTACCTACTTAATTTAGTTTTAGTCAAAGACATTGAACAACGTAGAATGTGCGTCCGGCTCGGTTTAGTACAGCCAGAGTGAGACAAGTCTCTTGGAGCCCCATGATGGGCGGGCAGGGAAGGGAAGGGAGCGTGTGTCCCAAGCACTCGAAGAGACTGCAGAGAGGCAATAGAGAATTCATTTGCACGCTCGGATTTTCATGAATATCTCGTTTAGAGTCCATTTTCAGACAAAATTCCTAAGAAGGAAAGTTTTAGAACTTATAATTTTACAACCGAATAGCAATGCTTCATTTTTCGGAACTAATTATTAACCGAGAAAAAAAGCCTCACAATCCGATAAATATTCACTGGAGCCGCTACTGCGCATGCGCAGATGTGCGCAATTGGGACACACAAACTCATCGATGCCTAGGTCGGTGCCACCACTCATTGGCATGCGAATTTTTAAAAGTTGTCTCGCCATTCGTAACCCAGGATACCTACATGGTCTACTTGATTCAATGTTTTTGGTTTTTGTACAATGTGCGCAATTTTTCTCATCAACATATTTGATTGCCTAGGTTTTTAAAGTTGATCGACCATGACAATCTGCGAGAAGGTTGATTTGAGTGACATACCAGTCTCAGCTCTCCGTCCAGCATCAAAAGAAAAATTATGTGCCATGCTAAACTTTAACCTTGTTATTCCTTCGCCCTCAGGATTGCCAAGGTAAGCTTGATTTTCACATTTCTCTTCTTGTGAGCGTTGTAAAGTGGATGATCTCTGGTAGTTGGTTTAGGCCACCAAACAAAGTTCAAAACAGCATATCGTCACCTTCCAGGCAAAGTATCACAAGCGCCATGCGACGTTTAAAAATTTCCGCCGCCATTTTATTTCTTTACTGAGAAATTGTTGGTTGAATCTGTTTGGAAATTTCACTAAATTTTATCGGCAGCACAAAGAAAATTCAGTGAAATTTTCGGACAGCTTCGTTGAACAATTTCTCTGTAAAAAAATAAAATGGCGGCGGAAATTTTTAAACGTCGCATGGCGCTTGTGATACTTTGCCTGGAAGGTGACGATATATTGACAGTGAAACTGCAAAAATGCTTACCTCGGTTGCGGTGTTTTGAGATCTCCGCTTCTCTTTTATTTTTCATAGGGTAACAGGAAACCAAACTAATAGCATGACTGGAAATTTTTACAGAATATTCTTCATGTAGAGAAGAAAACTCACAGAAGCTATCAAGAAATGATGTTCAGTAGTTCCCCATGTTGAAAGTAAAGTATGATAGGTAGTCTGCAATGCTGCAAACCGAGATTAGCATTTCTGCAGTTGCACCATCGATATGTTCCACAAGTGTTGCCTCAGCACATAATCCTCATACTTTCATTTAAAAAAAAAAAGGTGTTGATAACGGCAAGGCTTCCGCTGAATTAGTAGAAGATCATTGAATTGGCTCAATTGGAAATATCAAATGTGATTGTGTTTCAACCTTGACTTCCTAGGCTTGGTGTATTCAAAGAGGAAGATTGCATTGAAGAGTGGTACTTAGATGATTTGTCATTGTTTCTCATCTTAGCCTTTTTGGGTAGGCTACATTAATGCACACACTAACAACTCCTTTCAAATCCTTAAATCTTGCCAGTGTGAATAATTTTCTAATCCTACCTTTTTTTCAGCATTTATGTGTTGTTTAATATTGGAGTAAATTTTCAAGTTTTTGACTCAACAGTCACAATTGGTGGTTTTACAAATATTTAAGCCAGTCATCTGAAATGTTGTAGAAATTTCGAAAGCCCAGATTTTTTTTCTACAGGTACCTGCTGTGCATAACTTTTTGTGCATGTTCCAAACTCGAAGAATTCCATTTTTTCCAAGCCAGTATAGTGTCGAATAATTCAAAGTATTTTCATCTATTCTAAATTAGTTTTGAAGAGCTGAACAACTGTGGAATCAAGGGATTTCAACAGCTTCTGCATGAGAGCCTTCCTTCCAACACCTACTCATCTTTTAAAGTCCTCTATTCCAATTATAAATCTGGAGCAGGTGGACAGAGTTTAGTAGAAATGCATGAAATCCCATCAAGTTTGAACCAAGCAACAAAGGTTTGAAATTTAAGTCCTCCATGAAGCTAAATATTAAGTACTAAGTTTAACAAAAGCTGTTCAAAATATATTTTCTTTAATTTTTGATTGGAAAATTTACAACAAAAAGAATTCAAAACTACTCTTACCTAACTCGTTTTTGCGGCTCAGCATGTTTCTGCTAAACTCGGTCCGGTTCCTTCAGTTATCAGTGTAATTAGTAGCTTTTAAACAATCCTCTGTCCATTCAGAAGTTGTCTTAAGAAAGGATTCTTTCCATGATCCAAGTTAAAAAGCATAATTCTTTTAGCATCATTGAATATGTCCAACCCTTCTTGAGGCTTATTCTGTTATGATCATGTTTCAGGGACTGGAGAGGATTAGCACAGTTACTAAATGTCAAACCTCCTTGCGGTTATATGCCGAATCCCACAGGTCATATTCTATGTCAATTTGAAAAATTACCAAACTCTACTCTAGACAAATTACACAAAGTCTTCGGTGAACTTGATAGGTGGGATGTTTTTGATGATATGGATAACATTTTTCGTAAGTAATTTACTTATTTTTCTTCTTTCATAATTATATTCTTTCGCTTCACATCATTGCTGAGCTCACAAGAGGAGACTCGGAAGTGGCGGCTTTCTATTCTAATGCGGTTTGCTAAAATAATTGGCACAAGGACATTGACAGACTAATGTTCTTCAGTTTTTGCCAATAAACTGGAAGGAGGGGGAGGGAGTCCCTTTGAAATTTTCAGTTCCTATCTTGTGTATTTAGTTCATATTTATTAGGAAAAAAAAGAGAGGGAAAAGAATGTGAAATCGTATCAATTTAATGTATTGATCATATCAATGAGATTGATTTTACTTACCCATCACATTAAATATATTGATGATGAAAGTTAGGAAACATACATTTTAATTTGTGACGTCCCTGGGGAAACAGCGTTTGCTGATTGACAGAATTCAGTTTTAGGTATCGCTTTGCTATGTCAACTTTTTAAGTAGCTTTTTCTCCTGTTAGAAATGCTTTTTTGAGCTTTTCAACATATGTTTTGGTTTTTTTACGAAATTTTACGTAAGAAAAATTATACTACAACCGTGCAAAAATTCATTGCGACAACTGCCTTATTCCTGGGTATTTCAGCCGCTTTTCATTTGCAATGATCTCAAAAAGCCCTACAAGGTTACTCAAAGGTAACCTGTATAACGCAAAAGTAGTATGACTCGGAGGCTGAATTGTTTTCATCAAATTCTAAGTCCTGAAATACCTTTCTTTAAAAAAAAATTGCTTCATTTCTGTAGTCTCATGTGTCCCTAAATTCTAAGTATTTTACATAATTGTATAGATATGCTGACTTTTATTCACCATGTGCTCTGACTTATCCATATTTTAGAAACTGATGGAAAAAATTATTTACAAGTTGTACAGAACTCACCCGGAAATTCCAGCAGCCTTCACATAGATTTTCTAACAGATGACATTGTAACTTTGGGTAAGTGCTCTGAAACATTTTTGCATTTAAGCTCTTTGCTCCCAATGGGTCAATGCCACCCATTTTTATTCAGTTCATTCTCTGAAAGCACAGAGTGAATTAAGCTTCCAGGAATTTTTCCAGGTTTTTTTTAAATCTTTGATGACATTACTGAAATACCCGTTGATAACATTACAAGAATATCTGTCGATGATGTTGCTGGGGAATCCTTTGGCATTATCATATAACTTCCCCTTTTGAAAAACAAACGAACCCGTTGATGAGGTCTTTGAGAGATTCGTTGGTGATCTTATTGGAGCATGCAGTGATGATCCCGTCAGGACATCCTTTAATGACATCATTGGTCTAACATCATGACTTCATTAATTCATAATGCATATATCTTGATGTTTAAAGCAACATTTCTGTGAAACATACACATGCGCCAGCGGACATAGTGTCAACTGGTGTTATTTGTTTCATTGTTACTGTTCCAAGCGTTAAAACTTTGAGAGAGAATGTAGGAATGCAAAATGTGTTTCCACTTGGTGTAAAGAATCTCAAGAATCAATGTAGTTGAACTGCAACATAGTTTGTTCGTTTTAAACTTTTCTGGAAATTTTTTTTTCATTTTTTCAAATGATGAGTAACTTTTCTCTTTTAGATGACCTCCATAGAGCAAAAAACAATCAGCCTCCACTAATCTATGATGCCTTTGTATTATTCGCTCAGGAAGATGAAGAGTTTGCTCAGATGACAATAGATAAACTGGAGAAAGAGTATTTAGCAAAAGTAAGTATCAGGCCATTATGTTTTAAAAAATAGTGGCACCTCCAAGGGTTTTTGCAATTTTAGTCTCAATCGTTAAATAAACAGCCAAACCAATCAATATCTTGAAACAAGCAGCCAATCATTCAATGCCAGATCACCACCATTAGAATGCACCGCTTACTGTGTTACATAATCAAGGGAAATATTTATGGGCTGTTTATGAGATATATACCTCCAAATTTCTGCTATTTTGAACCCCCCCCCTCCCCCTATCAATCACCAACACAAATCTCTTAACAGATTTTTCAATTTTGTCGAAATGGTATTCTTTTCCATTTTTTCACCTTTACTCTAAAAAATCTCAAGAACTATGTCACTTGCACTGTTGTTCTAAGGTAAAATGCTGTATGAGCCTTCAAAATTTGCCAAATTTCCTTTGATAAAATATGAATTTTCAGGGGAATCAGTGAATATCTTTCTTCAAATTTTCTATAAAATTGTCTAATAATTTTTTTATTTTAATTATTTATTTGCGATCAAATCCAAATCATCCGAAAATGTTGAGAGAAAATATAATCATAACTCCCCTAAAAAATATTCACTATATTGGAGGCAACTCTCGAATGTTCATGCATTGTTTTCCCTAACATGTCAGTGCATTTGACAATGCGTTTTTCTAACTTAGGTTATATTGTGAGGAAGACCATCCAGCAGGACTTGGTTGAACGTATTTGTAGTTGGTTTTTTTGATTTGCTATGAGTAAAGTGGGTTTTTCCGCATTAAAGGAGATATTCATCTTGACATTGCATAGTTTTCTGTAGAAAAAATGAATATATCGGCTGTAATGGTACAGCAACAGTTAGACCCATTCTGAATTTTGTCCCTGTTTGTTTTTAAGATTTATTTTCTTCTTTCTTGTCTGTAATAGGTTTGTTATAAAGATCGCGACTTCATTGCTGGCCTTCCTTTAGAACACACGGGTGTAATGAAAATGTTGGAAGAGCGGTGTCATCATCTTGTTGTTATTATTTCCAACAGCTTCATCCGCAGTGAATTCAACAAATACTTTTTGAATTTTGCTGCTGCAGTGGGTATAGGTGAGGATCAAAACCAAGAATGAATGTCGATGGCCAAAGTGCAAAACAATGGATATTCATTGCGATGTTTCAAAATTTCAGCTCCTGTTTTATTTTTTCAATGAGAAAAATTGAAAGAAGCCAAATTAATAGCTATTTTCAAAATTTAATCTTCGTTCAATTTGATATTCAACAGCCTGCAGTTCAATAAATTACAGGCTGTTTTCACAATATTTTTGAATGTGATTTTAAGAAATATCTCACAAAAATGGCTTAAAATTCAGTCTGAGACGGTTGTGATTTTCTAATTATTTCGGGGAAGAGCCCCCTGGCCCCTCCCCTGCCTGGGGGGCCCCCTTGCCAAAATTTTTTAATCCATTCGGCTCCTGTTTAGTAATTTTGTACGGAATTTGGTTCAAGGTTTACTTTGCAAGGAAAGCAACCTCAGAACTTTCAGCTTCATAAACAACTTACCAACCAAGGAATCAATTTTTTCTTCTTTGTTTGTTAAGTAGCCTATAGGTGAAAATAAAAATTGTTAACTCACATTAACTTGAAATTGAAGAATTTATTAGTCAAAGCTTTTCAGCCTTAGCCATCATCAGGACACATGTAACTGATGACTGTGAACATTGACATCGTAAAGTATAAACGTTCGTATGAACGTATTAATCGAAATTAATCATGTATCGTCTCAAACTGTGCTTTTTTGCTAAGTCCTGACAATGGCTAAGGCCAAAAAGCTTTGACTAATAAATTCTTCAATTTTAAGTTAATGTGAGTTAACAATTTTTATTTTCACCCAGAGCACTGGTGACCTAACAGACAAAAAATTACACATAGTGCTACTACCATAATGTTGTATGCCAACACTTTTAATGAGGACTCAAATTACATTTTCAAACTTTAAATTTGTTTTTCTTTTTCAATACCTAAATGTTTTTCTTCTGCTTGGATCATTTAAGTTTTCAATTCTGTGAAGTAAACCTGAAGTTGAACGACCAGAATTTAGAAATAGGCACAATTGACACAAATAGACCAAGTCACCAGAAAGGAGTCAACTTTTTCGACTTTTTACGTTAAAAAATGTAGGCCAGTGGTTTCTCAATCCAAATCGATGATTTTATAAATGCGCCAGTGTACTTGGTTCCCCTCTGCTGAACTTAATCCAAATGCCTCTGTCATTCATTAACAAGGTTCTCTCAAAAATAGTATTAAAGTGATATCTTATACTAGTTGCTCGTCTCATTTCAGAACAAAGGAGAGTGAAAATAATCCCAATAGTTCTAGAATATTGTCCTGATTTACCGAGTGTCGTGCGGTTCTGTCATCTTCTTGATTATACGCGGAGCAGCAAGTTATATAACTTCTGGGATAAATTAGGACAGGCTGTGGCTCAAAGTCGAGTATCAAGGACTGTATTGGAACACTCCACTCAAAGGTATGAGTAGTTTTTGCTAAATTTTTATGCGTCCTAAGGTGTCTTGTCAAACATCCTTTCCACATCAAGAAGGAGGTAAAAGTTGTTGTTTTTTCAAGATTCTCAGAAGAATGAAAAATGATAAAACTGAGTGATCAGTTATTAATTTTTGTGTCACATATTAATTTATAAGCAAAGGTCACACCCTAAAGAATGCTGTCCTAAAAATTCCCCTCATTCGTGCGGTGAATGCTTTTTGGAAGTTTCCCTTCCTGCCTGCTCGCTTCCTACTATAGAGTCCGCGATGCGGCGCGATGTCCTGAAGTCCTTGCGCCGGCTGCAGGACGCTGCTAAGTTAGCTGAACAATTGTGGCAATTCTCCGACGGGCGGCCGCGCCGGCCATTTTTAGTGACCAATACGCGTCTAAATGGGAGCTCAAAATACCAACTTTGAGCTCGTTTTTCGTGGGCTGATATTGCTCAAAAAAAATCGAGAAAATTTCCTGTGAACTCTGTGCCCTCTCAAGTTTACAAAAATGTAGGAATTAAACATTACTAAACAAGCTCATTCTTCATATTTTAAATCGAAAAATCCTACCTGTGTTTTACATACCATCTGTAACAAGATCCCAGTCACACTAGGAGGGTTGGACAACAAATTTGGCAATCGAAAATTTTAAAATGTTGGTGAATATGCCCTGCTTTCACAAAATTGCTCAGTATTGGCATTTTCAGCATTATTAATACGATCCAGTTTAGTAACATGTCAGTTCGATGACAATATTAAAAATCATGATTCGTGATTACTCATGGCTTCATTATGACTTAAATGTCTTATCATTATGACTAATATGACTTACATGGCTTAAATCATGATTACTCATGGCTTTTATCATAAGGAAACACCCTGCGCTGAGAGAGGTGGTTTGGAAATTGCAATCCTACTACAATCAAACCAGATATTTAAGTATTTAAAGAAGATGCTCATGGAGAAATTTTTGGCAGAATCGCTAGGTAGCAAGATGCACCCACCCTGAAGGAATGGTATTCTGTCGAAAACTCAATTTTTCAAAATTTAGTGGTTACATTCTTCTTCAAAATCTCGCTCAATTGGTCGTATTTAAATCGAAAGGAACTATATCCATAATGAAATGAGCCCTGTCATGCATTTATTCTTATGAATCTCAAAGCTCATGTCAGAATGGATGATAGATACAATAACAATTCTTTTGATTTAAATACATCCAATTACAATTCGCAGTTTTGTAAATTCATTGTCAAAATTCTCTACAGCTCTTTTAGTCTGCCAACCAATTTGGTGAAGATTGAAGCTGACGGTAATTGCAAGAACTAATGCCTTAATCCCTTTAACGTCTTAATTTTAGTCAATTAATTAATCGTCTGTTTTCAGGCTCATGCTTGAAGATATCAAACCAAGATCAACAAATCAAGAAAAGAAAATAAGCCAAGATGAAAGTTACTCGCAAGAAGCAAAAGAGAAATCCTTAAGAAAGGAAGAGCAACTATGGAATGCGGAAAACTACTTTCAACAAAAGGCTTCCACGTGCAAATCATCACAAGAACCATCTCCTAAATCAAGCGATAAAAAAAGGGAAAAGCCTGGGAAAATAATCAAATCAATCACTGACGCCATACGTAAGCTCCCAAAAAGCAAGCTATCCAAGAAAAGTAAAGAGTTAGCCTGCCCAAGCGATTAATTGAATGCATTTACACAAAGCCTACCTTCATACAAAATCTAATTTAGGTAAGCGTCCATCCTGCACACAAACTAGGGGCTTCAAAGAGGCTTATCCATGGAATTCTTGAATGTTGCTTTTCGACCATCTTGGGATTTTCAAGGAATTTCGTGCAGAAATGGCTGAATTAAAGACTCAGTGCCAGTTTAGGAGACACAGTTTGTTCGCGGGATGGGCCTTGTAAATTCATTCCTATTCGAAACAATGTTGTTAAAGTTTAATTGGTTACTTTGTGATGCAAGGCAATTTAGCTCCGAGTAAAAGTACCTACTCGTTTCTCTTCATAGAAAAATTTAAAGAGCTTGTATCTGTGATATGTACTTGTTTTCATGAACATGAACTCAAAGCTGTTTTTATTTACTGTGTTTGTAGGTATATAATATCCAGCAACAGTTGTAAATTTTTTAAATATAATTTTAAGGACCATGTTGCATATCTTTTTTTTTAAAAAAAAAAAAAATTACTTGGCAGTAATGGACCACTAGACAAGGTAGGAAGTTATTCTGATACATATTGCTTAACCAAAATTTATCGTAAGCCACAATTTGTGCAACAAAAACTACTGAAATTTACTCCTTACCAAGATATTTAATGTTTCTTGATGCAAGAATTCAAACCTACCGCTCATGAAAATACAATGATCTACACACATCAGATCGCAAACTAAACGTTACCGTGGCATTCTCTGTGATACGAAAGTATCTTGACATCTAATCTCAATCTTGATGCTTTGGCTCAGCTGTAGCAAATCTTTCACACTTTGAACAATAAAGGGTGGGAAATGATAATGAGCAATGTTCGATCGAGGAGCCTGCCAAAACCGATGTAGTGCGCAATTTGAATTGAGGAATTATAAAAAATAAAGCTTGTATATATATCGATGATGAAACTTCCAAACAGCGTATTTGGCTTTGCGATGTTGCCGACTATCTGTCTGACTTTACTTGTTCAATGGAGAACTACTTCAAGTCAATTCGTTAAAACTCTATGGTTTTTCTTCTCTGCATGAAGCATAATCTGAGAAAACTTCAAGGAATGATGTCAGTCTGTTCTCCTGTAAAATTATGAGCAGAAGCTGAGATTTTTAAACACCGCAAACAAGGTACGTAGTTTGGGAGTTCACCGGCAATAAATATTTATTCTTTTAATCTCTGTTCCCTATTCTAAACACTCTGTTCTTGTTTTTTGAAGTTTATTTGTGAAATGGATTGATTCTCAAAAGTCATGAAAAAATATGTGGTCCTTTAATGTTCAAAATATTTTATGTTAATGATAATATTCTCTCATATGGGACTTATTCACCATTAACTCTTCTATTAATCAAACAGAGGGTAGTTTTTTCGAGAACGTCTTGTTCCAATAAGAAACTTCTTATTTTGTGTAGTTTTATTGCATTAAAATGACCAAGAAAAGGCAAAAACTAACCAAATCATCTATGCAATTAGAAATTTGTTTTTATTATTTATCATCTGAACATCCTTACTAGTACATTAACAAAATAACACACTAAATAAATAATACATTTGTATGATCTCATACAATGACTCCAGAAGCAGCAGAACTTAATGTAAATTTACACCGCACATATTTACACAGAAATTCACAATCAGTTTAGTTAAGGCAAGAGTTTCCATCTGCCGATGAATGACAACTTCGTCATCCATAGGTTTACCACTACAATTCAGTCACGTTCAGTGAGGATAGGTGCAACAAATGTAACTGGTGATGATTACAACCATTTGAAGTCTTCTTAAACGCTTGAATTCTCTAAGGAACAATTTTCGGTACCAACAATTTTGACAAAGGAATATGTTATTGCGAACAAACAGAACTATCCATCATAATTTAATAGCTTTGGAAAAGTTATGTAAAATTCTAATATATAATTTGAAAAATAGAATGAAATTGTGAATTAACCTCTGTACTAATTGCGAGGGGCGTTGGTTTCAAAGGTGTTGTACTCAATGCTTCGGGAAAATTATAAATTATTTTCTGGGGTTTGTCCCCGATTTTTAAATCCCTAAAAACTCATAAATTGGATGAGGGGAAGTAGGGGATTTTTCTTTTTTGTTTTTCGGAAAAGTTTTGTTGCTACGCATCTTACTTTACTATTTGCTGTCCTTTTATCAGCTGTTTTCATTCAACAATCATCATTAAATGAGGTTACCTCCAACACTCAACTGCCATCAACTTACATTTTTCTTTTCCCGCGTTTTTTTCGTGATTGGCTCCATCTTTTTCCTATTTCCAATTTTTCCTCATCAAGTCAATAACCTCCAATTTTTCTTTCTCATAACATTCATGTGGAACAGTAAGATGAAGAAACTGGAAAAAGAAAAAACTTCTGAGACAGAAAATACGGAAAACGGAAAGAAGAAGGAACAGGAACAAGAAGAAGAAGAAAAAGCGGAAGAATTGGATGAAGATAAGGAGGGAGCAGAAAATGAAGAAGAAAAAAAAGAAGAAAAGAAAAAAGGAGGAACAAAAAAAAGAAGAGTTGAAGGAAAAATTGGAAAAAAAGCAGGGCAGAAATCGAAAAAGAAGAAGCAACAATTAAAAGGAAAACAGAGTAAAGTATTTAGAGGATAAAAAAACCGATACTTAAAACTTAGTTTAAAAACAAAGGTAGAAGCTTAAAAAGAAGTGTGTATGAAGGTTTAAAAACATTTTAATTTAAAGTTTACAAAATAAACTTACAATTTTTGAAAAAATTTGTTAGGGGTAAAAAACGTATTGAGGCTGTGGCAAAGGGAGGGATTCCCTCATGGGATCCTGAATAATGATCTGTAGTTTAGAGATTCAAATAAAAGGTCCGCTATTGGTGCTGTGACAAGTACTGAGTTTTTCCTACCCTCGTATGAATTTTGATACAAATAAAAAATGGGACACTCAGGCGTTTCATACAATTAATTATTAAAGAGACTAATTATTCGAGAACACTTTAAAAATTATAAGAAGACAATTCAGATGAAAAAACACTCTCAAGACTGAAAGTGCAAAAACTGAGAAAATCAATGGAGAGAGATACAATTCTACTGCTGTGGAGATAATGAAGATTTTCCTTTTTAAAGAGATGAACGAAGTACAGTTAATATGCATGTCAACTTTACAATTTAAAAATCTTTCCACTCTTGTAAGAATGAATGATTGAATGAAGAAATAAATAAATAATAAAAAGAAGGTTAAAAAAAAGTCAACTAAACATATTCAATGAGGGGCAAAAGAAATCCACTCTTTCAACAATCATAAGATGAGAGCCATTTTGAATGAGACTTCTAGCTCCTGAAGTTTGTAAGAGTCAAGTTTTTTGGATTAGAAACACTCTATTCAGATACCTGGACTCGAACTTTCTCCTTTATATGGGCATGTTTGATGTATTGAGACAAAATATAAAATTATTCGATAAAAGTATCACAAAGAGCAAAAAAGAAAAACGAAAAAGGGGAAAAACAAAAAAACATACCAATAACTCTACATTTAGAGAAGAGACAAAATAATTTGCATCAAAACTCAAAATACCGAAAGTTTTGACACAGTACTGATCCGCAGGAACAGAATTTTTCTGGAGTTTTGATTTCTTTTTCACTGTCAAAACCTATGTAAAAAATTCTTACTTGCAGGTGTTCATTTCATGTATTCATATGCCTATTTCTTGCTGCTCAGTTGAAAAACAGTGGAAAACACCCACAGTAAGTTTTACTTTTTGGAGAAATATATTTTTTTTAAGTTTCAAAAAAATGAGTGACTTGTTAAAATGTGAACGAGACATAAATGTGATAAATTGAGTAAGATTCCAAGTTGAGTGAGACACTTGTGAAGAATCAATGAGGTACAGAAAAAAAAAAACGCCTACACCATGAAACATCCGCCGAACTGAGCATATTTTAGTACGATAGTACTAGAGTTGCTACTATGACATGTACTAAAAGAAAAATATTTGCACATAAGTCTTACTGGCAGTACAAAATTAATTCTGAACAATAAAGGGACTGTTCTGAATTGAGAAGGATTTAAGGGATGGCAATTTTGAACCTTCACTTTTTGTATAAACGGCAGACAAAATAAAATCTTTTTTTTTCTTTTTTGGTCGGGATTGAAACATAAATAAATCTTTGGATTTGAAAAATCTCACAAGTCAAATGGAATCTAATGGAGGTCAAAATTGTAAAAGCGATGACATCAAGATCCCTGTGGTCTGAGAAATGTATCTTTTGTCCTTGAAATAAAAAAAAAATAAGAGGGAAGAGAAAAACGAAGAGCTATTGAAATTGATCAAAGACAATCGCTGGAATTATTTTTTCCTCCTAAATCACCACCCCTATCGGATATTGCAAACGGAAAATTACGATTTTCTCAGAGGCAAATCTTCTTCTTCTTAAGATATAAAATAAGAATGCAAAAGAGGCATTTACTGATGATGACTATTACAGTTGTGTTCACTGACAAAGGTTAGTTGGATTAATTGAAAATAACTTTTTCGACTAGTGAGAAAGATAATGGATTCATCCCTTCTTCTGACTGACCGTTTTGCTGACCAAGAGTAAAAGTTATTAGTAAGGCTCTCACATAGTTGAGCGAGAGCAAAGCTTCGTTTGGTACTTAGCAACGCTCTCCATGCATTGCATAATTTTGGCTCAATTTATGTACATACCCCCCATCCTTAAAGTCGGTACAGCATTATGAATTCACTCCTTTGAGACCATTCAACATTAAAAACTGACGACTTTGGCTTCACAATGAATTGGATTTTTATCTAGTGTACAGAAGCACTGAGACATTTAACTAATTTACTGAAATGTACTTTTTGTTTCAGTTTCATTTTTGTTTGAACTTTTCAGAGTACATTTTTGGATATCCGATTCTAAAAGATACTTTTGAAACCTTAGACTAGGGCAGAAATCACTCATAAGCAAGATTCGCTTCGATATTTTTATGAAACCCCACTTTAGAACTGTTCTGGCTTTAATTTAAGGTTTTCAAAAATATACTTGTATACTAAAAATGAAAAAAAAAAAAATTCTGGTAGACATAGAAACGGAAAATCAAATAAGAGCTGGCGACTTTTACTTACTGCATTAATTAGACAAAAAGGGAGCAGGGGAGAATCATCATTAATAGGACAACCGATGCTTAAAGTAAGATTACTTACTTTGATAACCTATTAGAAAAGGTTTTGAAAAATTGTTGAGGCCAAAATCGTAGTTAAAAGAAGAGAGGGATTTTTCAAGTGTGATTTTGATTTTATGATAAAATTAAACCACGTGGACACAAATTTGGAAACTGAAAGTTCTCCCAATGTAAGCATCAAGATCTTGATTGCTTGGTCTTAAAATATACTTTTGACTATACCACTGTGTGAACAGCTGTACCAGACATCCAATCAGTAAAACAAGACCATTTTTGACTGCATTTGATATCCGAAATAAATATAAAAAAAAAACAAACAAACAAAACCATTTATGAATTTTAGATTTCTAAACCTGATTCATAAAGGATGAATTCAACAACAGATATAGTTCAGAGGGCGAACAACGAAAGAAGATTACAGATATTCATGGCAAAACCAGCATGGGCCATGGGGTCTGTTCGGGTTGTAGCGCCTAAGTCTACAGATGCAACTATCAGCTTGATCAGAGCTACTTCCAGGAAGGTTTGCCGTTCCAACGAAACATTTATTTCTAATTTTTCGAACGTTCTTCTCTTGACCATCACTTGGGAAGCACCTTTTCCCGCACCATTTTTGATAATGTTTGTTGTTTTGCTTGGATGTTGAAGTTGATTGCTCATCAGTATCTGCAAAAGAAAACCGATTACAACCATTCATTGCAGAAAAAATTGACAATAACATACAAAATTCAGAGGGTGAGAATGGAGTAGCAGGTAATTTGCAATAAAACCAATGGCAAATTTGTGAACTAAGAGACTTGAATGTACCTGGACATGGTGTTATACCTTCCCTGGGCACCATGCCCAAAATATCGACCAATTATGAGCAATCATTCTCAGCAATTGCAGCTATCTCTCTCAGCATCCCAGCTATTTTTTTTGCACTCATTGCAGCCCCAAGAGCGAAAATGGTAAATTATTACCCTCACCATTGAGTTTTCAGTGCTCACTTTCGATTACATACATTCTTTTCTTGAGTCATGCTGCTAGAACTTATGACATTCAGAATATATAAAATTTTTTGTGATATTGAAGCAAACACTGATTTTGGAGGCAGATTTTAGCGACATGACACAATGAATTTTTTTGAGACTAATGCTGGAGAAAAGGCGAGTGAACCATAACATTTCAATAATATTCATTATTGAGTAACTCCGGAGCCAATTCTTTGTATTAAATATGTCTGAAGAAAATTGCGTTTAATTGACAAGCTCTGTTATTACGATTTTTCCTTATCATTGAAACTTCTTTGAAAAGCCTATTTCAACTTAGAGCGAAGTGCATGATGTCGTACCTTTGATAATCCACCATAAATTCTGAACATAGTTTCTCAATCCAGGCATGGTTTTCAGGTATTCTCTCAGCAATTCTTCACTTGGACCGATATTTTCCAAACTCAATAGTTTGAGTGAGATTGGCCTTGATCTAGTCAAAATAATACGAACAGCACTTTTTGCCGCTGTAGAGCATACCATTGGATACAATTCTTGATCTTGAAGTACTTTGTATGCCACACCTAAAAAAAAAAAATGACCCAGTAATTAATATTAGCAGGATGAAAGGTAGTCAAGATTTTTCTACATAGTGAAGAGCAAATTATTTTACAATGCAATATTTTACAAAGGACATATTAGTTACTCGTCTGAAAACATTGAAATATTTGCCAATGGTATCCGAAAGAAATATCAAATTTGCATCTATTCAATTTCTAAATTCGCTACCACTAAAAATAAAACTTCTTTTCAGGGACAATGGTTATGCATCATTCATGTTGGAGCTAAAACAGCTCCTACTTCATGAAGCTTTCTGCAGTGTTAATGAACTGCTTCAAAAAGAATATGCTTCATGCTAATTTGATGTTTAGTTGTTGTTTTTTTCTCTGTTTATCATTCGTCATTGCTAATATTTATTATCAGCCTGTGTAATGACTGCAATTGCATTTTCTATGCACAAGACTTAAAAAATAAAAAAATTAATAAATAATAAATTTTTTGCCAGCGGAAAGGAGATTTTCATCGGCTTTTGATCTTAGGTACTTTAATTACACATGTGAGCATTATTATCTCATTGTTGTGGTTAGAATGTTTCATTTGTAACATTGATTGACACTTCTGAGCCCTTGGAGTTTCTTATCCTATTTCAGAATAATTGAGATGTGAGCGGCAGCAGTTCAAACCGGATGTGTACACATGGATCTATATTGGTGAATTGAGATGGAGGAAAAGGGATATACAAAACTTACCAAGCGGCATTCTGTTGAGGAAAAATTCAAGTCTTCCTGTCCACATGTTCAGATAAATACCGATTATACTCCCTTTGTCAAATGGAGAGCCATACTTTTCAGTGACACCATTGTGTTGAGATTTGCCTGTAAAAAAGGAGTCAAATTAAATACATTTTCTAACACACATAAGAGTTTGATAAATAACCTGATCCATCGACTCAATTGAACTTATAATTTTTTTTTTCTTTTATGGAAACTTGATTAAAAGTACATATTTTCTCAAATTTATTTTCTGAAAGTAGGTATGGAGTGAACTAAGCTTCTAAAAATTGTTCATTAAGATTTTTTGGCCCAAAATGACCAAGAAAATCTATTTTGAAAATACCAAAGATGCGACCTGCTGGAAGCAATGTTTTTGGCGTGCTCTGATGATGTAGCTAGGCAGGAGAAACTGCTTTTGCTGATTGGCTAAATTCAGTTTCAGGCATTGCCTTGTACATAATATCAACTCAACTATTGGCTTTTGATCAGCTTTTTTTCCCCTTCTAAGGGCTTTTTTGAACTTTTTTAATAAATTTTTCGGGTTTATCTTCAGATTTTTTAAAAAGAAAAATTAGAACATAACTCTGCAAAAACTCCTTGCAACTGCCCTGATGAATCACAAACTCAAGAATGACCTTTTTCAGGCTCTTTCCAGACCTGACTTTAACAAGAAATAATCTTCAGAGATGTGCTAGGTCATGATCAGAGGATGAAAATATACTTTTGCTGGAAATTTTCTAAAGAGAGATAAGTTTGAATCATTAATTTTGAAAAAGGCCTGACTCTCTCAGGGCCGGATCATCTACTTGCCGTCCATGGGCCGCCTGTATTTTGCTCCTCATTCGTTTTGAAACATCAATGAGAACCATAAAATGAACATGCCATCGGAGGAGGGGTGCATAAGACGCGTTTACTCAAGTTGAACACACTTTTCGGGAAAGCCCTGTCAACAATACTAGCAAAAGTTCACCTAACTTTGCGCGAACGTTAAGTTTCGTAAACCTATCTCTGCGTGGACAAAGCCTTCCATTCATAAGAAATGAACGAAAAAATTATGAAAGAACAAACATAAACGTGGTTTAATGATTTTAACTTCCGCCGCCGCGCAGACTGTACCGTGTTTGGAGCAGTGCGTGAAGTACTATGACAGTTTTGTAGGCGCTATGAGTTTCACGCCGAAGACCGCTGCTGAACGCACTGTGTTTGACGCAATGCGTGAAGTATTCAAGCAGTCTTGTAGGCGCTAATATGTGTTACATGCCGATTGCCGCTCCGAGGGCTTCTCCTTTTCATCTCAAGTCCTCGTCATCATTTCTCTCTAAGTCGGGCCCTTCCAGGCCAAATTGTGTGTTTGGTTTCTCTCTTAACTTGACTAATTAAAGGTGCTTTCTCTTGTATCACTGAAAGACACAAAATTAGAGATTACTATACTCTCAGGAAATGAGAGATTTTGTCGCCTTCTCTCGTTTGTAATTTTTTTTATAAATTCGATTTTTTTTTATACCTACATTTTAAAAAATCGCAAAATTTGCCGCCCCCTGCTATAGATTTGCCGCCATGGGCCGTGGCCCATGTGGCCACCCCCTTGATCCGGCCCTGGACTCTCTGAGCTAGGTTCCAATTGATATTTACAAAATACACGTTTTTAACATACATAATTTAGTAGAAGCTTGACTGGATTTTTTCCAAATACTTTTACAAGAGATTCTGGCAAAAATGACAAGGAAAAAAAAAAAAAAAAAAAAAAAAAACCAATAAAAAAACGAAAAAATCAATGAGACCTAGAGGAGAGGTGCAAGCAGTCATGGTAAAAAATAATAAATTTGTGATGAGCAAGAGGATGATATATAAAGCATTAATTTAACACAAACCTTCAAATATTTTCGAAAAACATCATCCTTACTGAAAAACACATTTCAAATTGCTCAATGCTCAAAGTTACACTTTTTTTCTGATGGGATCTCTTCAGTACCTTTAAAAATTATTTGCAAAAAAATTTCCTTCCAGCCTATGGATCAAAAAGTATAGTTTTTTCAGTTTCAAGCATACTTCTTGAAAAATTAGAAATTTTCACTTAAAGTCAATTTCAAAATGGATTAATTATCTACAAAGCTAATTGAAAGAAGATTTTGAGGGAAACTAAAAAATATAGGAAAAGGAACTTAAAAATATTACTGACCTTTGTAAGAGAATCCCCAGGATTCCTTATCAGCACCAAGCAAACTGCAGAAAGAGAACCGTGAATTATTAAGCTCTACTTTTGGAGTGCCAACACCAATCATCTAAAAGCAAAATAACAAGAATTAAAAAATGACATTTGACAGCAAAGGTAGAAAATGAGCATTTGAGACCAGAGAACTAAAAAAAGGACCCAATTTAAGAAATGTTTCCCATTATTTTTTAATAGAACATAACTTAGAAAACTAGGCATGAACACAAGCTACTAAGGTACACATTTAGCAACATGTCTCTAAAATTATGAGCAAATTTTGCATTGCTAAGATGCCGTTAAATCTCAAATTAGGGAGCCCATAGTCTACATTTGAGGGAAAAATAATCAATGGAATGTTGAAACATTCCATCATAAAGCCTTGTTACAGAAGCGCGGTTCGCCGAACTTTCGGCAAATTTTCTCAAGGAACTTATTTTAACTTATTCCTTGAGCCCCCAGTTTGTTGAACTAATTCAACCAAACTGCGCTTGTATGGATAAGGCCTGAAACAGACTTCGGCATTGTTAAAAAATTTTCTTGCAAAATTAATTTCATGTTTCAAGGGCCTCTTGAACTTTTAATCCAAAGCTACCTATTATGAGTTAGTAAGTAGCTTTATTTTGGTGACTGACTTGATCTTATATCAATTGATGATATAATTAAATACATAGAAATCAAGTGTGTGACATGGAGGCAAGGTGGTAGAGCAAGTGAAGTTAAGGACGAAAAGCTTTTCTGACTGTTGTCCGTTATCCAGTATATTTACCTGATGAATACTTGCATGAGTAAATGAAAGATAACAAATGAGCAAGCTTCGATGAGAGTTCTGCTTGCAAGCTTTTGCATGTGTATTGATTTCCTGGGCAACCATGCAACTCATAATGAAATTGGTCCAAAAAGTATTTGGTACTACTACTTGCACTGTGTATTATTTTTAAGTCACTCTCATAATTGGGTACTATTAGTGATATTGCAATCAAACTTACAATATTTGGCTGAATTAAAATTGACATTATGCCTCTGAAATTACTGTGCTGACTGATGTACTGTATTTGTTAAATTTCAAATGTACATTTCCGAAATAAATAGATAATAAAAGAAAGAAAATAAAAGAGAAAAAAAATTGTCAATGCTCACCACATCTGTGCCATAAAGAGTGGTCAGAATCTTTATCTCCCAATAGTAGACATGACCAAATTTGAAAGTAGAATCTCCACGCACTGCTGCAGTACCTGAGCTGTAGCCAGGATGAAAACGAACTTCACGATTTTCCTTGTAAAGGACTGTGCTGTCAGATGATGAAGCTTCATCCCAGCTCCATTCATAATCTACAAAATGAGCGAAAAAAAACGTTGTTTTCTATAGCCTTTCACCAATAGAAGCACTCATATGACGAGGCACAGGTCTTTTGCATGAGATTCTTATGAGCTGCGTTGTCGAAGTAAATTGTTTGTGACCGTTTGGAAACAGAATTACCCGATTCCAAATGGTCAGCGCCCTTGGACTCTGTTAGAAAAATTCGATGACTTGTGTGTTTACGTATGAAAGCCTAACGTTTCTACCAAACGCTTAACTATCTCAGAAGGTCAATGGGACCGTTGGGTTGCGTTTGCAACCAGAAGAACCAAACGGAGTCGGACGAGCTTACATCGGCAGTGCACTTATGTGCGTATCTAGAGGTGAAGTTGATAGCCAAGAGAAAAGAGCAAATCCATACAGAAATACCCAGCAGCAGTTGTTGCATTTTTGTTTTCCTGCTACAAGTTGGAGTCTTGCAGTGTCAGTAGGACGATAACTTATTTCAGATTGAATCTGCTCATGCAAAAATAACTGATGTCAATTTTTCCAATTTACAGTACTCTCAAAAGTTGGATGCAACCATGGAAGTAGGGTAAAGGTTCGCTCTACGATTACCTTCAGCCAAATATGAGTCTATTCATATCTCCTTCAGGGTTGCATCTAACCTTGAAGAGTACAATGAACCAAAAAAACTGGAAAAATGGAAATAGCTGTTTAGGCATGATTAAAAAGATTAAAATATTGACAACTTCCATAGCTTAAAAATGTCTGTTTCCAGGGTTGATATTCAAAGAAATATGGCTCCAGTTTGTAGAATGGTTTACGTACAATGTTTAGATCTAGGGCTAGACAACATCCAGGAGGATGCTGGTAAGATAATGATATAAGTAAAAGATTTAATCTCTTGGCAGTAGTCTGATAGGCAGGACTGGAATTTAATACAGCGAATTGACAAAAAAATGACCAATTTAGTTACCTACCTAATTGGCAAGAGACAGGCAGCATTCAGGGGCAATTAGCAACCTGTCTCAAGTCAATATTAACCCTCATGAGTTGTTATTAATTTTTCACATGAGGATTTGTATACGTAATTTATGGGTAATGTTTGCAAATGGGTTGTATTTAGAAATATAGCCCAGGTTGGTAGAAAGCTGCTTTCTTAAAACTAACCTCAAAACCTGTATTCCACCTTCAGCACTGATAATTATAGACATCATTTGTACAGGAACGATTTGCAATATATGTAATTAAGGTCTTGACAAAATTACATTAGAGCTCAATAACAAAGTCTCGGTACTCGAGTAACCCTTGGCGGCTGTTAAATTATTACATAATTTATGCACAGCATCCAGTGCTATACACCTGGGGAACAAGTATGGATCCAGAGCCAACCAACTCCTGCCTGAAGCGGAAAGAACATGAGAGGAGTGTGACTTGGAATCCTTGAAACATAGGACAACACTCAACATTTGCAGATTGAAAAGAGACAGAAAGTGATGATCATTACTCCGAGAAACCCTAGAATTGTGTTAGTAGTTCACGGTGTTCCAAGTGCTAAGCCTATTCATTGATCTGCACCAATCTAGAGTATTGTATCCAGAACTGCTGAGAGAAAACTAAGGCTGGATAGTTACCTATATCTTTTGAATCTTCTCCACAGGAGCATCGTATGAAATGCTCGTCTGCGTTCGGCCAGCAGTCGCAAAATGAAAATGTAAGATTCTCAAACTTCCTTGCTGCTGTGTAGAATTGAAGCTGTCTCTCACCATCACCGTCATCCATTTTCACAACTGGAAATGCCACAAGTTCTTAGAACGGTTTAAGATCTTATAAATCAGTTGAAAAGGAGGGCAGAAATAAACGTATGGAGAATAATTCTTCACAACTTTTTGGACAATTGGACACAACTTCGTCACTTCGTCAGCAAAAGCTATGGCGACTGATCAAATCCGTCAAAACAATAACAATCTGCCCTCCGCATTGCCAACAAAAGAAAATTATCACTGTGTACAGGCGGTCGCGGTAAGCACCACGAAGAAGGATTCTCAGGTTTGCCGGGTATGGTCAAAAAATTATGAAGCAAATTTTTCAAAAATTGGACAGTTATACACACAAGCATGTAATTTCACTATTTCTGGGTGGATCAGCCGGAGTAAGTTTGCATTGAACAGTTTCGACGTCAAGCTCTTTGGTGTAATTTCGAATAGTTTCAGACGTGGTTCTACCCTGTACCAGCCGCGAATGACGGCCCCGTTCAAAATTTATTTTTCTAGAAATTTCTCTGCGCTGTTTCTTTCCGAGTGAATTCCAAATTGGAAAGGGGCCCATTAGCTTTCGGTAAATACTTCAGGGGTTAATTTATTTTGTTATGTGGCTCACAGAGCAGGGAAATGCCCTGAAAATAAGCAAAAATGATCTGATATTGATGAAATGTAAGATGCTACACATACTTATTTCCTCTTCACAAAACGCCCATGATGAAGCTCCCTCGCCTTCCTCCTCCTTATTGATGCGACAAATACAGTCCATTTTGACTTCAGTTTCAAATTACCTAAAATTTTAAGTCTAGTAGTGCCATGGTAGAAATTAAATAGAGTGTAGGAAAATAGGAATTGAACCCGACCAACCTGATCAGAGCCAGCGCTAAAACGCTTTGAGTATACCACAAAGGGCTGTCAGTGCTAAATCATTGGTAATGTGCGGTTTGAGGCATGATTTTACGAGAACAGATAAGTTGTTGTTCTTGTGAACGAATCATAATTTCTTATGTTAGTGACATCTTTTTTGCCAAGAAATTAGATATGATTTGAAAATCACTGAATTTGTATTCCATTTCACAAGTATACATTGTACATTCACCAACAAACAGTTGGGGCTTCATAAACTCAAGAAAATGGAAAGGAATGGTGAATTTACAATTAGGTACTATGAAGCTCTGAAACATTGATAATTGGCCTTCATGTCAATGGCTAGAATTGAAAAATACACATGTCCATCAGATTGTATCATTGTAAATATTAGCTTTTATTTTCCTAAAAGATAATTGATAAACAGTTATTCTTGACAATATCTCTGCAAAGCTTTTCACTCATTGCAAAATATTAATGGAAAATAAGGGTACTTGGATACAAATGGTCAGTTATCTTTTGAAAATGAAAAGTACTTAGTTGGGGATTTTTAAATATAGTAATGGAGCTTCACATTTTTTTATTTAAACCATTCATATTCGGTAAGACGAGCAACCCATATCTTCTCCCCAACAATGATGCACTCTCCTCCTCTTTCTTTACGTAAAAAAATTTATGAACCAGTTCACCAGTAGATGGATTCAATACTTCGGTTAACTTCTTCTAAGTCAAATCGCAGAGGGACCAGATTGTTAGTCCCACTTAGAAAGAAATTCCACCTAGAGGGCTTTCAGTTCTTACGCAAAATTCTATGGGACCTTAAAAAAGTTTGACTTAGAGGAAAATTCTACTTCAGGAGCGTTCAATTTAGAGACAGTTAACTGTAGCTTGGCCTACCTACTACCATTGATTCAGGATGACTAATTTTGAAGGCTATTTTTTTGTTGAGGAGAGAAAAAAAATTTAAAAAAGATGTTTCATCTACCAAAATGTGAATTTATTACTAGATTACAAGTTAAACATAAAAACAACTCATAGAAAAACAACAATCATACCTTCATAATTGAAACACTACCTATAAGTAACCAAGGTTCATTGCTTCTTCGCATGCTAGTTCAATGTCAACTTTGCTGCCTCTCGGTCGCCTACCAATGGGCTCCAAATCATTGTAACAGCGATCAAAAACTCTGTCTATGGCCGCAAGGCCATCTTCATGTGAGCAATTCCTTGCAGCCATCATCGAAAGAAACGCTTTCTTTTTCACACAGTCCTGGACATCAAATAAAAATAATAAGTTAGTAATCATCATGTTGAGGCTTGGGTAATTTACAATAAAATAGGGCTTATATAGGGGCTTATATAGAGAGACAGCCAATCAGGGAGTCCAAAAATTAGCTGTCTACACAATTTATTCAAAATCACCGAATGTAAAGCCCTTCGCGTCAGATAGTCTATTTCAAAGTGCTAAAAATTAGTGGGAATTACTTGTAGATTTTAAGTTAAGGCATTTAATGGAGTTGTTGCATGAAGCTGAAGCATCAATTTTTCATTTAACCATCTGGGAATACCTACAATTTAGCAAGAAACACAACAGTACCAATAATAACGCCATTGAGGATGATTTTAAATGAATAGTTAATGCATGTTTCTAATCTCTTTGGAATTTCCAAGAAGGCTAAAAATACCTACTGCATTTACAGCCATAGGAAGAAATGTGCTTCTTGAGCTCCTCAAAAATAAATGGAGTCATAGCCATAGAAGCGTTTATAGCTGCAGAAACGAAAGTTAGTGTCTGGCCATTAAAGCTATGAATAGCCCTTTTTTAAAAGGTACCTATTGACCATATTCCAACTTCTTGCACAAACATAACACTGCGTGCTAGGGAGATACCCGAGATGATAAGTTGGAGAAAAACCCATCCAAAATTCTAATCTGGCATGAGCCAGTCAAAAAATTGCCGGAGTAAGATGCAAATTTACACCCTCTAGTAGCACAAAATAAACTTAACTCCTCATGTCTAATTTTTAGGACTCTTGAAAGACTAGAAGGTTCTAGAAAAGTTCATTGAGATCTAAAGATTTGATTCTTTGATCCATTTAACAAAATTTGCTCTACCAAAAATTTTGCCTCCCTAGACTAGGAATGTTTTTCCAGTGACCTGTCACACTTTCAAAAGATAATTGTAGAGCATTGAATGCATGAGCCGGTACATTTCAGTCTCTCTGGGTTGTTATCTGCCGGTTTGTTTTGAATGTTTAAAGAGAGTTAGTTTACTTGGTGTGACTTTCGTTTGGTTACCCCGAAGAGCAAAAAGACATTTCATTTACCTGGTGTGACTTTCGTAACTTAAAGGGAGAAAAGTCATTTCTCACAAAACCGCTGAGCCATGAGCAGTGGGTCATATTAGCAGCTCTTATTTCAGTGCAGGCTACATGATCCAAATTTTTGAAGTCAAGTTTGTGATTACACGCATCATACATGTGAATCATTTCATGTGCTAGAATACCATTGATATATCCTTCTGAATTTGCTGTGTTGTGACATATTACAACCTGAAAAAAAAGCATATAGATACAATGTCTGCTACAGCATGTACAATTTTTTTTTATAAAAATGTTAATTTAAGTAAGATTTGAAGATTTAGAAGTTGGAAACTGACATTTTGTGGATACTCCCTACCTCCTATCCCTTTAGGTGTATCTGTCCAAAAAGTCGCGGACTGGTCCTGTATTTCAAATCTAAGCCAGAAAACTAAGCTAGCAACGGACTTCTTTCTTGGCGCTGCTCACCAGACCTTCGAAACCATTCAAGATGGAACTTGATGAAATAGCCAAAATCCAGTCAAATCGTCTCTGACAGTAACAATATTAATTCTTATAAAAATTCCAACGTGTCAGAGTCATAGACTGCACTCTTTTTGTGACAAAATCAACATGAAAAGTTGTAAGTTGAAAAAGAATCAACATGAAAACAAGTCAGGGTTTGTACCTCCTTAGCAGATGAAATAACTTTCACTTTAAGTCAATCTGGAAAATTCAAGGGACTAAAATTCAAGAAGAACGTTAAAAACATTTACCTGGTTCATATTAAAATCATACCCGCCATGAACTCGTATATCGCATAATTCACAGGATATGTGTCGTCTGAAGTCAAAAGGACTGGAAAATCAACAAAGATTGAATAAATTAGACACAGATTTGAAATTTGAGATGCACAAACTGTACTTCTTCAAACATCTTCAGTTTATGGGGTATAACTGAGCTCTCCGATAAATATCAAATGCTGAAAATGGGAATACAAATTCTCATTTAACCTCATGACTCTCTCGGCCAATCTTGAGATTGACAGGGCTTGGGGACAGTAGTTGTCGAAAATGCATTTTGTTCCTGCGAACAAAGACAGGATGGAAAAACCCTCATCTGAAGAAAAATAAGCAAGTTCTGATCAATAATTTAATTATAATGCAATGCTTAATTATTCAGTAGTTTTTCTTTCACTTTAAAAAAGAAAAATCTCCATTTTTTTCGTAGGTGTTCATGGTGGGTTGGTTCTGTTCCTCTAAATTGGTGGAGTAAGCAATTAATTTTTCTTGGGGCAGGACAAATTCATGAACAGAAATTCATGTTCTTAGAGTTTCTGCAATAAAAGTTAGTGATAAATGCTTGATATGTAAGTAGTGAGATTTAAATATTTACCAGCCCGATGAATTTAAGGCACCCATCATTAGTTTTACAATGGGACCTGGAAAAATAAAATATAGGGTTAAAAAACATCAGTTGAGAACTATCAGTATTTTTATAGCAATGTTGATCTTGCCCTCAAATATATTAGGTACATACTACTCTTGTCTGTTCTGATGATTCAAAATAAAATCCGAGCACTACGTAAGTTATTTGATACGCATATCGACGGTGAAACTACCAAACCACGTATCTCGGTTTGCGATGTCGCAGACTTCCTGTCATACTTTATTTTTTAAATGAAAAACTACTTAATGTCCAGTCTTGAAAATTTCTGTGATTTTTCCTCTTTATGCGGAGAAAATTCTGTGAAAATTTCATTGAATGATATTGATTTGGTCTTCTATAAAAAAATAAAATGTGAGCGTAAATTTTTAAACACCGCAAACGAGATACGTGGTTTGGCAGTTTCACCGTCGATATGTGACTGTTCACAAGGAAAAAAACTTGGGAGCCAAAAAAATCAAATTTGAGTTATTAGCAACACTGCTTGGAGATACATTTATTTTAGAGACATTGTAGGATGAAAAATGCACACAAATTTTAAACCTTACAAAGGGGGTAAACTAGAATGAAAGCGGATACTTGCATCGCCAAAAATGGACTATCCGCTCGTATAAAATTATGTGTGTTTGAATGAGCAATGCTGTTGCTCTTAGTCTGCTTATTCTAGAATTCTAACCAGTTTTGAAAAGTTTTATTAATTTAATCAGCATTTCGGTGCTCTAATCTACAGATTTTCAAAGTTTCCACGAGGTTATGTTGGTAAGTTTTCGAGAAATTTACCACTAAAATCCTTTAAATGCTTTGCTTATGGACGTGTTTACCTACGCTTCAGCTTCAAAACATGTTAAGTACCAATCAGAAAATGGATAGTCCATTATTTTTACTTAAAATTTTCAGCCAAAATATGGATGATGACCCCTAGGTATGAGCCTGAAGAAACATCTTAAACCAAAAATTTTGCAAAATTCAGGGAAATGAAAGCAGAATCCTGTTCGGAAAATAATTTCGCATTTGATATAGTAATTGATTCCTGAATCGTATGCAAGGTTTCCTTCCAAACAAGAACCTTCTTTCCTTTCCCTAAATTTTGCAACTCTTTTGGTTGAAGATGATTCCTTAGGCTCCTGCGCAAGTGCTGAGGACTTTTATTTCAAAAAAATTCAAAATCTGCAGAGATTTTAGACCTAAGCAACGCGATACCTTGCATGCCAGCAGCCTGTGCGTTTGTTGAAAGTTTGTGTTTGTCGGGTACACATGGATGACAAAGGTTAAAAGGCAGAGCGCGATTGGTCAGCTATGTCTTATCACTGCTTTGTCATGCCTAAGTTGGGTAGAACTCACGAAAAGTCAACGGCACCTCTTAAGTTTCCGACAGTATGTCATCCATTCCACCTGGCAAAGGCACAATAAGGCAGCGATAAGACATAGCCAACCAATCACACTTTGCCTTTTAATTAATGTCATCTAAATCTACCCGACAAATACAAAATTTCAACGATCAGGCTGCAGTTCGACTGCGTCAGAGAGCTTGACAAATCACCTTAAGTTGCAAATGTCAAGATGATGCAAGAGTTCCTATTGCAAAAACACAAACTAAAGAACTTACTATTCAATATAAGTCTATAAACTCTTTGTTCACAAGCAATTTTGTTACGGTTATCTCTTGCAGGATCCACTTTCAATCCAGCAAAGGTTCTTTGCCATGCAGATTTCCTCTCAGGGTATAGATCATAACCGTAGTCTTTCAACATTACATCGTCGATGAATTCAGTTTGGTTCGATGATTTTTGTGCGTCTCCTTTCTCGCCGCTCATCTTGTCAATTTAAACGAATTTATATACACCGAGAACTAAAACTACGAATAAAGACAAACGTTTAAAGACGCACAATAATTATTAAAGGGTACTATAATGCATGTACATGCTTATTATAATCACAGCATGCAAATTGCAAACTGGACTGAATACACTACTCTTATCAGTCAGTGACCAGTATCAGTCACAGTGCAACAATGTTTACAAGAACCATTCATCAGTGACACCGTTTTGCACCGATTCCAGCAATGATAGTTGCCAGATTTCTTAACAATTAGAAAAAAAACCTTGAAATTTTACTTTTCAGGATGATTATCCAAGGAAAACGGCAACAACGAATGGATGTAGCTGCTCCGTATGGCGTATTCTCGTGATTTGAAGGCGATTCAAAGCCCCCGACTTGGCGAACGAATTTGATGAAGAATCCAAATTAATTTAAGAAGTACACGAATATCGCTCGTCAAAGAGGACTACCTAATCCCATTTCTCAAATTGATATCAGACAAAAATTTTGAATAGAAAACTTTAAATTCTAATGATGTGTCATCACAATCACAATACATAATTCCGTAAGCCCGATCCGTCGGGTTAAAATTCAGTGGGAACCGCCGCGCGGGCCGATCGACCGGGCACGTGGGGCACGTGTGGTACCGGCTTGACCATGGGCTTTGGAGTTGAGAATTTTAAAAAATTGACTAAAAATTCGAGTTTTCCGTTGAAAAATACCGTGTGATACCGCGTTTCACAAGACTCGAACAAACCGAAACCGAGATAGCATTTTAGCCCACGTCCGCCATCTTGAATTTGAGACTTTTAAAAAAAATGGACTATAAATTCGAGTTTCCCGTCGAAAAATACCTCCTGAAACCGAATTTCAGAAAAATCCATCGAACAGGGGCCAAGATAGCATTTTAAGCCATTTCGGATTTTCGAATTATGAATTTTTTTAATTTTGACAGATTTCGATTTAAAACGCGTGATCCCCAAAATCGAAGCTCAGATTCGGATTCCTCGTAAAAAATCGATGCGATTTCATGTATCATACCCTGACACCGAATTTCAGGAGAATCCATCAAACAGGAGTCGAGATGGCATTTTAAGCCACTTCAGTCATTTCGGATTTTTGAAGTTGAAAATTTTTACTTAAAACGCGTGATACCCAAAATCGAAGATCAGATTCGGATTCCTCGTAAAAAATCGATGCGATTTCATGTATCATACCCTGACACCGAATTTCAGGAGAATCCATCAAACAGGAGTCGAATTTGGAAAATTTGACTTAAAACGCGTGATACCCAAAATCGAAGTGCAGATTCGGATTCCTCGTTAAAAATTGATACAATTTCATGTATCATACCCGAGCATAGCGTGAAGGAAAGAGACGTAACGTAGACATACTGATTCGAACATATGAATGCAACGTGGCAACATGGGTAGTGCTCAGTGGGTCAGCGGAGGAGGAAGAATAAGAATTTATCGTGAGGAATTCCTCGCGACGAAACCGAACGCTTAGCCGGCGCTTATAGCGGCGCTTCCCCGTTCGGTTTCGCTCGGGCGACAGGCGGCGGCGTAGTATTCAAAGGGGAAGTACGACAGAATCTCTACGCGTCGTTAAACCTTTTTCCTTCACGCTATTTTAACATATGATACATGAAATCTCATCAATTTTTCACGAGAAATCCGAATCTGAGCTTAGATTTTCGATATTACGCGTTTTAATCTATTTAAAATCGTAAGAGAATTTACAGAATTGTCCTTGAAAATTGATCACACATTAGTGTTTTTTTACGTCATTAAACCTCTTTCCATCACGCTATTCTAACATATGATGCATAAAATCTCATCAATTTTTCACGAGGAATCCGAATCTGAGCTTAGATTTTGGATATTACGCGTTTTTTAATCTATTTAAAATCGTAGGAGAAATTACAGAATTTTCCTTGAAAATTGATCACACATTAGTGATTTTTTACCCCGTTTTTCTTCTACGTTCACGTAATGAAATTAGATCAACAGTTGACTCATCGACAAGTCTAGCCTAACCCCCCAGAATCGGTCTTAAGGGCGAACGATTTTATCAGATAAGATGTGCGGTCCTAGTTTCCGGGCAATTGCGGTTTAATGGAAGCTGCGATGAGGAGAAACGGAAGATATGCGAAACTCGGGCGGATATTAAGTGAGAAACCAGGTAGGGGGAAGGCTTTCTTCCCGAAAAGTTAGTGCTCGGGCCAACTTACATTGTCACTGGAGCATTGTATAGCAGGTTGTGGGAAACTATTTTTTTGCAGCAACAACCAATTGGATCGCATTTTGCAAAAAGGAACTAAGAGCATTTCAATGTTGCTAGGCTTGTGCAACTTAGGTACATTCTTTGCAAAAAGTAAACTTTGCGACGGTAATTTTCGTCTTGAATTCATAGTTTATTGGGAGTAGAGGTGAAACTAGTTTAGATGATCGTTTATGTTTGCAAGGTTAGCGACATTGGAATGCTCTTGCTACGTGAAATTCTGATGAAGAATCATGTATCAGAGTGCTTGAATTTGCACCTTGCTTAATGGTCCATTCAATCTAGAAAAGCTAACATACAGACCTTTCTTAACTTTTCTCAGAGAAAATATTTTATCGGGGGAAATGAGGCAACGTTGGAGTACTCATACGGCGTCGAAACACAGCATGGAATTTTTAAGCCCCATTGTTAGATGCCGTGATTATCCTAACGCAAGTTCGAATGCCGAAACACGCTGCGGTCGGCATCAAACTCATATCAGCGCCTGCAAGCCTGCAAGAATACTTCATGCATTGCGCCAAACAGTGCGGTCGGCGTCGAGCGCATGTTAGCGCCTACAAGACTGCATGAATACTTCTCGCATTGCACCAAACGCAATGCAAGTATGCAAGAGTTATTTGCGGTAACTATCCGATTACGGGTGTAGGCACATTGCCGCTAGCTGGATTGATGGCACACCACACTGTATGAAGATGACTCGACACTCGACTGCACTCCCTTCCCTGGCTTGCGCGACACTCAAATCGCCGCAAGACTAGGTCAACGCGTCATTTCATTTGCCGGTCCCTGCCCGGTTTTTACCCCAATTAGTGGGTAAATATGTATTTTAATTGCAACGATTCAGAAACTCGGACGATGTTTAAACGATGCAGCAATCCTGAAACTTGAATCGCATAAAATTAATTTTGGTTTAATAAAAAGAAAACAGAGCAAACGAATATATCGCATCAAAATGTGTTGTGATTTTAAGTACTTTTAGTCATTCCGGAAATTTTGAAACTTCTAAACTACCTACTGTACGTAGCTTTTATTTTAAAAAAACTTGGGAACTCCTCAGAAAAACTTTGTGTGTAGCTTTTTAGAAACGGTGTTCAAAAATAAGACATAAAAAGTGGTGCATATGTGACGTTGCAATCAAAGATAAATACGCTTTCTTTCGGGTGCACCCGTCGGCTTTTGAATCCATTCATCTATGAAATAAGTAAAACAGGGTTGTTCTACGATTTTTTATGTGTAGTTTTTTTCAGCGGTTGGCGGCCGCGTAGCGGCCACAGGCCCCTAGTGCACGAGTAAAAGTCAAAACAAAAAGACACACCTCTAGATAGAATCAGTGAACCTTGAGCGTTCACGTTGGATATTTTGAGAGACAACAACGCTTTGAAATTCAGCCTCGTGCATTAGGGTCATGAGTCCCTTGCACGCATTTATACTCTTTCGTATCCTCATGATTTGAAGGCGAATCAAAACCTCTGAATCGAATCTGAATAGGAATCCAACCGAATTATCGAATTGAATAAGAACTTTTATGAAGTTTTCTCATTCACTCGTCGAGGGAGACTGATAATCCCACCCATTCAACTGGCATCAGGCAAAATTTTGAATTGAAACATTAAAGTTCTAGCGATTTTTCGTGCAATAACAAAAGCTAAAAAAGACACCTCTGGATTTTTAGAGAGACAGGATCAAGACCGCGGATGGGTTCTTTCTTTCTATGTCCGTGTTGGTATCTTTCTCAAACAAACTTTGGGTCAATTAGAAAAAAATTTTCAAGATATTATCTGGATACCAAAAAACACGACCGGTGATTAGAGCAGTTATGTACCTAAAAACTGCTCAATATTGTACAGAAAGATTTTTTGAGCTGTATGTGAAATACAAAAAGAAATTTTGCAACAACTGAGGTTTTAATGGCACAACTGTCTTTGCGTGTAAAATGGACCGCGTTAAGCAGAAAGGAACCAAGCCACATCAGCTGTTGCCAAATTTAACCCGGCAATTTCATTTTTTACAAGAGAATGTTTGTGCGGGCTCCTTTGAAAATTTTAAGGAATTTACCTCATACTATGCAGAAAATTCACCGACATTTTCACAAAAATCCGCACAACCATTTTCATGTAAAAAATTAAATTGTCCAATTAAATTTGGCAATAGTTGATGTGGCTTGGTTCCGTTCTGCTTAACGAGGTCCAAATATAACTAGAAACAAGATGATAACTTTTGGTAAGATATATATAATGTACAAAATTCTGCTTGAATAGAAAAAAGTCTGCAAAATGATAGATTGTGATACATGAAAGACAATCGCAACTATACTTACTTGAGTGTTACATCATTCAAAACTGTCATCGTCCAAAAATTGAAGAGTTGAGTTTTCTAGGCTTTTCCAAACCATGTGAAATTATTGAGAATTTTGTATGATTTTAGTCTAATTAACCCTCAGCTTTTTTTTTTTTTTTTTTTTTTTTTTTTTTTTTTTTTTTTTTTTTCTTCTTTTTTTTTATACGCGAAGTCTCAAGTCAAGGCCAAAGTGACTTGTATTCTAACAGATTGATTTTGATGGTTTTTGAACGTGTTATTTGTATGTTCTGGAGGGTAAGAAATATTATTCTTTGAAATGTTCACCTTTTTGGTAACGTGATGGCGCTTTATCACCCCCCCCCCCCTCCTCCGGCGTAGCGTAACTCTCTCAAAAGATAAAGTCGGGTTAATTTATAGATACACATTTTTAAGAGCAGCCCGAGACAATGATAACAGTAGGAAAACAAAGGGGAAAACGGGGAACAAGGCTAAAATATTAAAAAAAAACCGAGACGTTTTGACTCAAAACTGAGTCATTTTCAGTCGGAAATACACAATTTTTTTTTTGTATATCCGACTGAAAATGACTCATTTTTGAGTCGAAACGTCTCGGTTTTTATTAATATTTTAGCCTTGTTTCCCGTTTTTCCCCCTTATGTTTCTCCACTTTTAATTTTTAGAGCGCTTGTGAGACCTTTAAACATTTTACTCCCTTTCAAAATAATTATTGATTTGGATATTTATAATATTTTGAGCAAACTTAAGTTTAACTTATCTCAAATTGTAAAAACAAGACACATCTAAACGCGATACAACTATTGATGATTGGTGACTGTGCATATTGCATATGCAAAATTTAAGGCGCGATGGCGTGAACTCACAATGCTTTGCTCTATGCTGCTGGTGAGATTGGGGAAAGCAAGTAAAAAAACGAGGCCGGATGATGCCTTCCCTCGCATCTTCGGCTGTGTTGCTCACGTAGCCTTCGAAGCACCACTACAAATACAAATGTGAAAAACGGAAACAAACCCAGTATGGAGGTAGACAAGGTAAAGGGAACGCGTTGATGACGGTGCAAAGATACAACTATTCGCACATGATGGAAGTCCGTGTTTCATCTTCAAAATTGAAGGCGCGATGGCGCAAGGCGTGAACACTCAATGCTACGCTCTACGCTACCAATGAGATGTCGCTCGGATTCGGGAGAAATAGTTTAAAAGCGAGGCCTGATTACGTCTCTCCTTTTTTCGGCTGTGTTGACAGTGACGGTCCCTCACAACCTGCGGGCCACTATTTTAAGGAAGCCTTGGTCAATTTGACTCGGCCTCAGCACCTGAAGGTTAATGAGAATATCGCTAAAATGACTACACCTTACTAAAAACTCAGGATTTAACAGCGGAGCCGAAAGAGGTCGTTCAGTCGGTGAATTCTAATAAAATATAGTTAAGTTTACTCTCGCAAAATTAGGCTTCAACCGATCTGTCACTTCTAAAAACATTGTCATTGTTAACAAAATGATTGTTGACTGGGGCTTCCTGCCATAGATCTCTCAGGAATTTCATCGATTCGTTCTTGTCGCTTTATTTTTTTACTTTTCTTACTGAACACCTTATATCTTTATCCAACCCAACACGTTTTTTTCTCCTCTCTCTCTCTCTCTCTCCCTCTGTCCCGCCTTCAAAATATCAACTTTTACTTACTAGACTGAATGTTTCATTTTTCGATGGGGCCAGAAAAATCTTTCCGGCTGATATGTTTCTTGGGCACGCCATTTTCAGTTTAGTTTTTAAAAACAGTATTTTAGGTCATAATCTTTCGCGCACTCTTCTGAAAATAATGGTGCTTGGATGCATCTAGTGGCTTTAATTTTATGAAAATGATTTATTTCACCAGTCTTTCGGTTACTTCAATATGTTCGATTTTGCAATTTTTTCTCTGTGCGATAAATCAGCTTTAAACCTGAAAATAGCGTAAAATTGCTCTATAATTTGCCGAAATTGTCTCAACCGCTTTCCACGTCGGCTGTGCCCCCGCACCCCCCGGGAAAAATATCACATTACGCCCCCCTTGGACGACTAAGGGTCTATACCCTGTGATGTGAATTTTTTTGATGACGTAGGTCGGTCCGGCGATTTTCATTATCGATTTTCTTGGAAATGGTATAGTTTATGGAAAAAATGCATTCTACATAACGTGTTTGAAATTATATCATGAGTTGATTTAAACAAAAAAATTGGACGTTATGTTCCGTTTTTCATTCTTCAAATTTCGGATTTTGCCGACCAGGTTGTACCGACCTACGTCACAGGGTACACAGTCCTCATGCAAACACCTCACTGGGAAAAAAAAACACATTGGATCTAGAGCCCAGGCTCTTGAAAACATTGACAAGAAAAAGGACTCGTGATTCAATCAAAAAGCTTAAATCAAAAGGAAATCCGCTCAAACTAAGAGGCTTGGCTCTCGATTTAAGGTTAAATCTGATTGAATCAAGAGTATTTTTTCTTGTCGATGTTTTTAAGAGTCTGGACCCTAGATCCAATGTGTGTTTTTTTTTCCAGTGCTCCTTTTCTCTCTCTGTGCCTAATATCGCAAAGTCACTGAGAGGTACTCAAAGAGCGGCCAGGAAAAAAAGAGCGACTGAAGGTAGGTGCGCGGGACAGTGGGGACACCCGTGCGAGGAGGCACCGCCACCGGTATCCCGAGGAATAAAAATCAACTCGGATCCCATGGGGGCATCCACGGCTGTGTGGGGAGAAGCCGAAGATAAGCGCGGCTGATATAAGAACTCTCTCGGGTCTCGAGAAACCACTCATTATACGGATCCCCGGACAGCGGGACCAAGACCCAGTCCGAGCAGAGCATCTTCCTGCTTGACTATTCTCACCCGCGCCACAATCGGCCCATCTTCGCGCGGCTCGCCTCTGTCAGTTTTTCTCGTAAAAACAAACGCGGAAGCCGTGCGCCCCGGGCCCCGCCCGCTTCAAAACAGTGTCACATTTCATAACTTTGAGAACTCTTGCATTTTATTCATTAACCCCACGCGCGCGGCTCCGGGTCTGGGATCCACCTGCCCGCAAGTCTTCGTCGTCCGGGCCAGCCGCGCTTGCCCATTGTTCTCGCGGTTTCGGGTTTTCGAGCGCTTTTCGCTTTTCGATTTCGTGCGTTTTGACTCGCGTGGCTAGACCTTGTGCTCACGTGCTCAGTGGAAAAGTGTGCGAGCCCGCCCAGTGACCCTTGGATGACCGCCGACCCTTCCGATCCTTCTGCCTACACGAAAGTCCAAAGTGGATAATCAACATGCTTTCGGCAGGTTAGACAACTCTCATTACTCGCTCTTTTCTTTACTCTCTATCCGAGGCCAAGAGCTGTGCTGCCGTGCTAAGGAAAAACGCCGATGAACCTTCAGGCGTTGCCAAATTTCCTTTGATAAAACATAAATTTCCTGGTAAATTAATGAATATTTTCCAATCATTTTTAAGATACTTTTGTGAGCAATTTCACCTAAAGTTCCTGAAAATTTCAAGGAAAAGTATTCATAACTTTCCTCAAAAATAAACATTTTAGCGAAGGAAATGTGGCAACTCTCGAATGTTCATACGGCGTTCTTCCTTAGCACGGCAGTATTAGCCCATCATTTCTCAACAACCCAAATGCGAAGTACTTTCGAGCCTTGATTTTCCGTATCCATCGCCACTACCGGATACCATGGGCTTTCGGCATTCGAGTCCTATTAAAAAGAGACCGTTTCTATGAGCTCATTTCCGTCTTTTGAATTTTCAGAAAAATATGATCACATCATTTTATGCTAATTTTCTAATATTCTATGCCGCCCAAAGAAAACTTCGAATCGCAAAATTAGGCGGGTAAAATTGAATTCAAAATTAAGAAGAGCTGTAGAAACGGCAGCCCCCTTTCTTTTGGAATTAAAAAAAAAAAACAAAAAAAAACAAAAAACACCACCATCACCACCAACAACAACAGGGAATCAGATATCGATAGGCAAAGTGCAAAACCACGTCCTTCTTTCTTTTTTTGAGGAGAAAAGAGTCAATATAATAGCTTGAAATATTTACAGAATAATCTGCCGTAAGGGGAGACAAATCAAGAGGGTATCAAGAATTTACGTAAACTAGTTTCCAAAGGAAAAATAAAGTATGACAGGAAGATGCAAAGTCGCAAACAGAGATACGCGGTCTCGTAATTTGCCCATCGATATGCATATTTTCGTATCTGCTACTATTTCCGAAGACTTGTTGAGAATTATTGATTAACGCTGTGATATATATTTAATCCCGACATTCCTAGGAACTTAGTAAAATTCACTCATTACTTTTTGTTTAAGTTTCCAAGTCTTCTACAAACTCCCTTTATCAGGGATCGAAGGTTTGCTAAACCCAAGAGCAATAGTGGCTATGGTGACGTTGGATTCGTACTATGGCAGTTATTTTTTTCTACCCATTCGTTCAAGTCTCCGAGGATACTCTCCCCATTTTCCCGTTCGAGATCAAATATTTGCATGAAGGGGAAGGAGATGAGAACCGAGAAACTCTTGCAGTAGATTCCATATACGTAACACTAAAAATATTTAAAAATTCAATTCATTTTGTTTACATGCATTCAAACGGATGGAATGTATAGCAGGTGCATGCAGCAGAAATTTTGAGTTATAGGAAAACCATTCTGAAACTCGACGTCCTAACGATGACGCGCCTCAATGCTGACGCAAGTTTTCAATATTACACTAACAATTGTAGTAAGTACCCAGTAAAGAGTCCTAAAAATCTTCGAATGGAAGGAATTCAAAAGATTTTTGATACAGTTTCTATAAACGTTTATGAAAAAAATGGTACTTAAAACTAAACCAAATGGTTTTAAAAAAATGTAAACATAAATACCGTCATAGCAACGCGTTCTTTCCATGAGTATAAACCTCTGAACTTTTATGATGCTTCTTGCACTTCACGTTTCAGTACGTATTATTTTATGTAAGGAGTACATTTTTCAAGAGAAAAAGAGAAGCGCGGAATAAATATTCTTCAATGATCCTGAAATTTCACCTCTTGATTCCTTATACACCATATTGGCCAATTTTGGTATTTTATTGTACGTAATTAGAGAGACACTAAAGTTTTGCTCGCCAAGACCTCAATGCCGGTTTTTAATTAAAGTCACTAGGATTAATACATTCAAGTTTTCCACACTCGTCCTCCTCTTCTCTAGGAATAGAGACCTGCAATTTCTAAGCTGCATGAACTTTTCTAGAAGCAGGTTTTATCAAATCGCGGTCATCTGAAGTTCCGTTTAAAACTGAGTTATTGATAATTCTTTTAACATATGGGGTAGGTTACCTGACCGCCTCGCGGTCCAACCCCCTGAAGTGCTTCGCGTCTCAGGCGTTATACGTTACGCATTATTCCTACGATTTTATATTATAGTTATGATACGTTGTAAGTACATTCTGTAATTTCTCAAGTTTCGGCAGAGTGGTTTCTCGCGCACTGATTTTAATTGAATTTTCTTTCCGCGCTATCGTAGGCAGCGCTCTCAAGTCATCGTATCTGTGGATACGTCCATTTATATTTTTTCTTTACTGGAGATTAAAATTCATGAACAAAGTCATTAGATTGAGAAGGCGCGGAAACACCTCTATTAAACCTTATTTTCTTACGGTATGTCTTATCCATCTGGTTTTTCTCTTGTGCCTCTTCATGCTCCTATGATGTTACATGTTTCATTCACTACACATTTAATCTCCCACCATCCTTAAACGTATTTTACATTAGGTCTTAGGTAACTTTTATCTACTCTTTACACTTATCCCTTCCTTCTAATTTGAGGGGCTTGGAGGAAAAGGGGGATTCTCGCCGTTTTTTTTCTATTTCAAGAAATGCGTGTTTAAAGTTTCAAAATTACATGGAGCTAAATGGCGGCATAAGAAAGTTAAAACTCACATTTTGATGCTAAAAAAATGGATTTTAGTGGTAAATTTTTCCTTAGAATATATTTCAAGACTAATTTTAGTTGAAATCATGAATGCCTTATATTTTTCAAAAACAGCACTTGTCTCACTTGTCTTCCAAGCTCCGCATTTGTACTTCTGCCGTCCAATAATGAGATATTTTTGGACGGGGAGTTGATGGAAAACAGATCATGGTGCTCCCTGGGAAGAGGTGAGAAAGTAGGATGGGTTAAAAGTGCAAGCAGTGGCGTGGCGTGCTTTGCGATATATCGACTGATTGGCCATTTAAACCTATGGAAAAGGATCGATAATCAGGGTGTTCGCAGCGAACACTAATAATCGATTCTTTACCATGGGTTTAAATGACATAATAGTCGATATATCGCAATTCACGCCACGCCAATGAGTGCAAGCTAGATATCAAGTCGACAAAGCGCAAGTCGCTTGCGACGGCCGGTGCCTTCCGGACTGAGATGACTTAATTCAAGGTTTTGATAATGGGATTTTGAATGAGAGAGTCGGAGCTTTGCGGTTTTGTAACTGAACTGTGTGATTCGCTCTTTGTGGAGCGCACCGCTTCAATTTGGGATCTACGTCATCTTGGTTCACACGAGACCTCCGATCTGACCATAGATTTCGGCGCATCAAATGCTACTCGGCGAAGGTGATCGATTCCCCGACTAGCATCAGTCTTCAACTATTAAAAGAGCCTAAGCGTCGGAAACTCACGAGCTCTGTAAGTCGTTTGAGGTAACGGAAGCCGAGGCTCAACAGTATTGGGCAGTCGAGGACCTGGTGAAGAAGCAACGGTTGAACCGCGGTTCGATCGGGTCAACCCGGTCGTGGCATCGTGATTGGGTGATTGATTGGTACCTTCTCGTCCGTTTTGTGTAGTTATTCAATTCCATGTTTTGAGTCCCGGGCTCCCCTCGTGAGATTCTGAATTACGTGTGAGCTTATGCAATTGTTCTCGACGAAAATGTTTCTGATGGGCCACAACGACCGTCTCTCCCTCGACTCCCGATCGGGACGGCCGAGGCGGAGAAGTTTCCGATCTGGTTTACCGATAAACCTCCCGCAGCCGGATCAGGGAGACTCGCTTATTATCATTGAGCTTGGCATCAGGATTTTTGATGCGGAAACTCTGGAATGAATCGTGATAAAATCACGGCATCAGCAAACGCGGTTTGAAGCACTCGCCGATACGTGAATGCCATTAACGTAGGTTCCAATAGCGCGTGTAGGTAACAGGTCCGCCGCCTCTACTCTGTACTACGGCCGACTGCAGCTCTCAAAAATGAAAAATGGAGATGTTGCATGTGTGAGGAATTTGCGATTTGGCTGTTGTTTCTTATGCAAAAGTCCGCGAGAAACACGACGGTGCCACTGTTTTTTCTCTGAAATCAACTCCTAAGCTCAAAAAAAGCTCTCAAGTTGAGGCCAAAATGGAGGGGATATCCCATGCTATCCTGAGAGTCCACCTCAAGACAATCTCTCCATGCAAAGATAGGGCACCAAATACATCGGCAGGGTTGTCGTGTTTTCAGTTTTTGAGTCCCCAAATAAAGTGGCCCCCAATAAAGCCCCAAACAAAGAGCGGAGCAGGCGTCTATAGTCTACAGGCAGGATGCCGTGTCAAGAAAATTCGCCGTATGAGCATTCGAATGTTGCCAAATTTATTCTGAAAATATTCAATTTTAAGGGGACTTATGAATATTTTTTTTTCGAAATTTTCAGACACTTTTAGACCAAATTACGAGCGAAATTCTCTGAAAAATTGGAAGATAAATCTTTGCAAATTTTCTCGAAAACTCGTGATTTTTCAAAAGATATTTGGCAACGCAGGAAGGCTCATACGTCGTTTTTCCTTAGCACGGCAGCTTAGCTCAATTGCTTACACTAATTAATGATATTTAATTGTCTCACTGACACACGAAAAAGGAAATATTTGAATACGGTCAACACTTCAGTGTAAAAACAACAAGCCGTCACGAGATTGTGTTTATTTAGCATAGGGCATAGCCGAGCACTTTTGAGGGCGGTGCAATTCTTGAACTTGGCACGAGTGAATAAGTACACTCTCACGATAAAAAAAACAGCAAAGTCAATATCATTTGGTGCGTCCTCAGCCACTTAAAATATTCATGAGGCTTGTACTCATGGGCAACTTAATTTGTTCCTGAAGATTACTCTTCATTACCGACAGGGCCGGATTTAGGGTGTGACCACATGGGCCGCGGCCCATGGCGGCAAATTTTGCATTTTTTTTTAAATGCAGGTATAAAAAAAAATCGGATTCCGAAAAAAAATTACAAACTAGAGAAGGCGACAAAATCTCTCATTTTCTGAGA